ATCCAGTCCCGGGATGTCTCAAGGGAGTAGTGAGGCGGACTATTTTACCTCCCGCCACTAGGTCACTAGTGAGTAAATTTTAGTGACTTGCAATCCCAAAGTCAAGAGGAATGTGTCCAGACAGGGCGCACAATTGAATAAAATGATGAACGCCATGGGTCATACGACATAATGTCTCCCGGCAATTTCGATTCAGAATACCACAGCAGAAGTATACATGATAATTACAAGTTTATCTAACCATATCGCTAATATGAATGCTGTGCATGTAGCTTGTATAAGTGAATGTAAGGGTATCGTTGAATGGCACGATTTTCGCAGTGACGAATGTAATCTTTATTGTAGTCGTAATTAAATCGGAATATTCGTAAATGATATATCGAATACTTTTATCTCAATAGATACATAGAAGTAATTAAATTTGGTAATGTTTGTTTGTACCTGGCCGCTGAGCGTGAAGAGAAGAGCCATGCTTAAGACTCAGGCTGTAGCGAGCATGCTAGCTCCGCTAGCGCTTTCCCTCGATAAGAGCTACCTTGAAGCTTGAATCAACAAATCAACATCACCAACAACCACGAAATTACAAAGACATAACACACACTCGCTCCATAACGTCGATTTGATACCCCGAGGAGCTGAGTAGTAAGTTCATCATGTCTCTTGACCCACCCACTTACCTTTATTCGTTGATGAACAACATTCGCCAACGACCAATACCTTGGGATGGCGCTGTACGAGCTGGCACAATTACCGATGATCAACTGAGTAAGATTCGAGCTGTTGATAAAGTAAGAAAGGAGCAAAGGAAGGAAATTGTAGAGAAAGATCCAAATGCGTATAGAAAGCTGTTTGTTGGTTCGGAGGGAGAACTGAGCGTTTTAGAATCTGCGACGAAAGCAAAGCGCCCAGATGTTGTTCAGTATATCTTAGTCTTGTTGGGCGATTTACTTGATGGTACATACCTGCCACTCCATACGTCATCCGTCCGGATACTGATAGAAATTGAATAGGTATTCCGACGTTATCAAAGACTCTTGCGGAACACGACGATCCATACAAACCTTTCCTCCCACTACTGAATCAATCCGCTGAACTCGAAAGCCCCATACCATTACTCACCTCTACGGTTCTTACAAGCATAATTTCAGGATCCAAGGATACATCTCAAAATGCCTTGGAAGCAATGCCAAAATTGCTGCACTACTTGTCAACACTGGCAAAGAGCTCGGACGGTGGTTTACAAGACATAGCAGTTTTACAATACTCGTCATTGTTACAAGGCAAAAAGTCGAGAGAATTGTTTTGGAGCCAGAGGACAGAGACAATTGAACCCTTAGTTACCATCCTTAAATCGGCTGCAGGCGTTTCCAATGGCGACTCTGCGTCGACACTGTGGAGTGGGGCTGCAAGTATCCGAAGTGGACCAGAGGGAACTTTGGGCGGCGGCGTTGGATTGCAGTTACTTTATCACGTACTACTGGTTCTGTGGCAGTTGAGCTTCGAAGGTGCTGCAATTGGAGAGGGGCTTGAGGAGTAAGTCTTGTCTTGTCTATTTGAGAGGCACGTAATGACCAACAACTAACCAATCCATAGCGAGTATGATATCATTCCACTTTATACGCAACTTTTGAGACTATCACCAAAGGAGAAGACAACCCGTTTGTTAGTATCGTCTCTATACAACCTTCTCGCTTCGAATCAAAGTTCATTACTCCCCGTAGCGGTATTCGCTCGCCTTCCAGCTCTCTTACAGAATATGAATGGACGCCATCTTACAGACGAGGATCTTTTGGACGATCTCAAGAAACTGAGCGAAATGTTAGAAGAGCATACAAAGACTCAAACTACTTTCGATGAGTATGCTGCAGAAGTTCATTCGGGTCATCTCCGCTGGTCACCACCCCATCGAAACCAGATATTCTGGGCCGAGAACGCTCGCAAGATTCTCGATTACGAGCAAGGGGAGTTGTGCAAGAAGCTGGCAGAGATTATGAGTAAGCCTTGGGAGAATGACAAGCAAGTTCTTGCCATTGCATGCAATGATGTAGGATACTTGGTCAAAGAGGTTCCGGAAAAGAGATCTCAATTGGAGAGGTTGGGCCTCAAGACTAGAGTTATGGAACTGATGACGGAGCCTGACGAGACAGTGAGATGGGAGAGCTTGAATGCTCTTTCTGGATGGTTGAGGTACAGCTTTGAGACGAAGTAAAGGATTGAGGTGATATTGTGGTTATGGTTAGGGAGTTGTATGATTGAGAGGCCAAAAGCCTCGCGCCGGAAGCTGCATATTCTACCGTTTACAAGAAGTCAAACTCCCAGCGATTATTGATTGTGTCGATGCGCAGATGTTCAATTAGTGTAGAAACAATGATGATTTTTCTTATCGGGTTTATAAAGATATTTACGTTATGATGAGCAAGCCTGGAATGCTTAAATTTCATAGGTCCTTATCACACTAGATTCCCCCACTAGTGAGCCGAAATCGGGTTGGGCTTTATCCTTAAGCCGATTGTCAACACAAGCTCCGTACCTTTTAACCGTATAACTTTTTGACAAGAAGTAATTGATTCATAATGAGACGATTCAAAGCTGTAACAAGCATCTATGATGCTGCGTTGATCAACCGCACAGTTCCAAGACGCTCTCGTCAGCTTTCGACAGCTCTCCAACGAGAAACCTATGCGGCGACTTCCTCCTCATCATTCCATACTGCTGCTCGATTTCCGATAGCTGCCATAACGACAAGAAGGCAGAAGTCAGTTCGCCATGTCTCATCTGCTTCTTCATCTACTGAACTTCGCAAAACCCCTCTCTACGACCTGCACATTTCCAATGGTGGAAAGATGGTTCCTTTTGGCGGTTTCTACATGCCAGTTCAATACTCTGGCCTTTCGGTGAGCGCCTCTCATCATTTTACGAGAGAGCACGCCAGTCTTTTTGATGTGAGCCATATGGTTCAACATCGATTTGAGGGACCAGGTGCAACTGCTTTTTTGCAGAGGATCACACCGGCTAGCATCGCAAATTTGGCTTTGCATCAAGGAGGGTTGAGTTGTTTATTGCATCCTGGAACTGGAGGGATTGTGGATGATACTATTATCACGAGGTTAGGGCCGGAACTATTCTATGTTGTTACAAATGCAGGCTGTAGAGAGAAGGACTTAAAATATCTGGGGGAGGAATTGGAGGCGTTCACCAAGGAAGGAGGAGAGAAGGTCGGATGGGAGGTGCTCGATGGTTGGGGATTAATTGCGTTGCAAGGGCCAGAGAGTGAGGAAATATTGAAGGGACTTTTAGCAGAGGAGATGAAGGAGGGAGGGTTCGAGAATTTCTTGTTTGGACAGTCGAGATTCATAAAGATTCGTTTGGCTGATGGGTCGATTTCTGGGAACTTGTTGGTTAGTAGGGGTGGTTACACGGGAGAAGATGGATTCGAGATATCAATACCAGAGAGCGAGACGGTGATGGTCACCGAATCCTTATTAATGAGCGCTGGGGAGACAAGACTGCAATTGGCGGGATTGGCTGCGAGGGATAGTTTGAGATTAGAGGCTGGTATGTGTTTATATGGGCATGATCTAGATGATACAACAACGCCAGTAGAAGCAGCTCTCGGTTGGGTAGTAGGAAAGGAGAGGAGAACAGAAGGAGGCTTCCACGGCGCTGAAATCATTCTCAAGCAACTTACTCCGAAAAGTAAAGGTGGAAGTGGAGTAGAGAGAAGAAGAATTGGACTTATAGTCGAAGGGGCACCAGCTCGCGAAGGCGCGGATATCGTTAATGATAAGGGAGAGAAAATCGGAAATATCACAAGTGGATGTCCAAGTCCAACATTAGGCAAGAATGTTGCGATGGGGTACATTAAAGATGGGTTCCATAAGGCGGGCACTGATGTAGGTGTGATAGTTAGAGGGAAGGAAAGAAAGGCAAAGATTACTAAGATGCCTTTCGTGCCATCGAAGTATTGGAAGGGGACTAGTGGTACAGCTCCTGCTTAATGGGCCGGCTGGAGCTGGTGGAAATATTGGAGGGGACGAAGGGAGCAAGGGGAAATTCAACATTATGCAACTGGGACTATGGAATGGAATGGTAACAGGCGTTTAGAGAAGAGCATACCAGCATACCAGCATATAAGCATCATCAACGATGCGCTTCAACGAAAGCTATGGAGTTAAATGAATAAGATGAAATTTATGAGTTTATGTTGCAAGACTACTGATTATGAATTTGTGGTTGGTAGATGCGCACATGTGTGAGTCTCCTTTTTTTCATTGACAGTGTCTCGATGACCTTCTGGAAGAGGTGTCCCGATGCTACGGCTGGGTGTATGCTTGGCCATGATTCCATATGCCAACATCTACCTATCCCCTCAGGTACATACTTCAGGGCCAACTTACAAATCTTGCTTGACATATCTCCTCCTTAACCAACATTCATCCCTACGTATGTGCCAGTGATAATGTTTGGACAAGCGAGAATATCGATGAAGTGACTAAGGTATTATAAACATCTTTTTCGGATTACTTCCCGATTCGCCAGATACCGAACTTCCTTACAAGACAGTCCAAATCATGTCATTTAAATTTCTAGATCAAGTAAAGCATACACGAGATAGACCCTCTCACGTCAAGACTTTACTTGAAGATCCGCCTTCTTCAAGCTAAGCTCGATCGGCCACTGTGGAATAGGATGCGGAGCAGCAGCATACTATATTTAGGTGCTTTTTTCTTCCGCTGTCATGGAACAAATCACATCTTACGCCTTGCGTTGACAGCCGGTCCATATTTTTTCTATCACATGCCCACTTTCTACGAGAAACATTGGCTACTATAAGTACACTTTTCCTCCTTCTTTGTCACTGCTGAAATAGACGACTTCAATCATTACATCTGTATGGGAGAATTGAACAAAGCAAGACCCGAGAAACGCGTTGAGAAGAAAGTCACGATCAAGTGGTTGAGAGATTGCATCTGCAACCGAGGCATCTATGGAGAGTACAATTACGACAATACGAACATCTCTAGAGCCACTGGGGTGAAATTGAAAGCTTGGTGGCCAGTACTGCTGGGCATATACTGACCGAATGGCTCGTTCAAGAAGTGACCACTTATACAAGACTCTGGGCTACCCATTGTCAGAATCTCGTCAACGAATCGACACGGTGAGGAACTACCATTGCAGCTGGAAGCAGAGATCTTCACGAGGTACTATATGCTACATAGAATACCACGAAGCAAATCGACAAGAATACTGGAGCAAATATCAACTTCATTAGTATCCCTGTTACTACTCGTGTCACTTGGATTCCCGTGCCAGGCATGCTAGTTCCGAAACTTACCCCATAACACTGCATTTTGAGACTTTGTTCAATGTTGATCACCAAATGCACTGCTAGGCTTGATGCCGGTTGGAATGCGGGGAAAATAGGTACGTTGCGCCCAAGGTCTTTTCAATGGAAAGAAGTCGGGTCTTTAGAATGAATCGTGGATGGAAATCCACATGACTTCAGGATTGCGGCTACTCATTGCCGTGGAGAATTTGGCATATGCTATGCTAGAATTACACGGGGGTTCGGTGGCATCATTGGGCTTGGTATAAGAAGGCTTTGGATGCAGCAACTGGTGGAGCGGGACTGTTCTATGTGACCACCAGGGATCTCAATATCTTTGTCGTTCTTACCGAGCAGTCCCGTCATCCTGCGTGTTGCACTCCGCAATTTATCGAGGAGCCAAGTGGTGACCTCAAACTAGCAATATGGGGACTCTAGATGTGCTAACTGCGTTGTCCGAGATTATTCTGGACACCTGTAACGTTTAAATTATTCTCAAGATGTTGTCAACAGGGTCAGGGCAACCAATCCAGATATCTGATCCTCCTCTTGGCGTAACATGTCTGGGGAAGTTCCACATAGAAATCTTACTAAATACTTTCTTTGATGGGGCCTAGAATATTGTCCGCGGCCAGTCAAGTGCGGTATAAATCGCTAAAGCTCAATGTTCGGCTCTCTATCCCTTGAATAAACGACCATACCGCACAGAAAGCTGGAAATGGAAAGTCCTTCCTTCGTATTCCGGGGTAAGTGGGTCACTGGCTTCGACCAAGCACCAAATTTGTAGTCCGGTGACAATCCAGCGAGGAAGCTGCGAATGTGTCAGAGTTGGCAGGTTTAATGTGGTCATGGGCGAGTGGGCCATTCAGTCAGCCGAGATTCGAGAACAATCAGTTTGTGAAGAGAGAAGCGACCCTGCAGACGGGAGTGCTTTTTGGGTGCGGATCACTGCATACAGGGAAGTGCTTCCTAGAATGCAATATACGAGGGAAAGCTGCGACTGCGGTGAGCGAACGCGGAGCGCTTCGGGCCTTTCGGGAGTCTGATTGACCGTCTTTTCGTGAACATTTTCAGGAGATTCGAGAGCTGGTTATTGCGTCCATTGAGTAGAAGAGATGCATTGCGCTGATGTCGATTCGGTGTTCCAGGTGCCTCAAATAAATCGTATAAATAAACATCTATATCACAATACGTAAATCACAAATAAATCACAAGTCTAAACGATCAGTATTGATGATTCAAGAACAGATAAATAGGCAATCCAAAAAATCGGTTGTTCCGATGTCGTTCATTTGCAATACTAGTGGCAAATATAGTTTACCGACTTGCGTCAAGTTACGTAATTTGCAAAATCTTTTTCGAGGTCACCTTGTACACACTAGCCATCTTTTTTCTTGTCCGATCAAGGGGCCCGGATTGCAAAAGGGGGTAGACACATTGGCTACAACCATTGCAAGTGAAATTTAGTTACCAGACTCGCCAGAGTACTCGTACTGGAAAATATCCAAGTTTGCAGATATTGAAGGCATTTTTCATATTTTCATGCCTGTAAGAAGGGTCCAATCCAATGTGCTCCCCATATGGTGTATCAAAGATTTAAATGCCGACTGCAAGATCTACCATGCGCCAACTTCCGTCAATTGAGAGATGGATACTAAAATATTTTTTCAAGTTTGTTGCAATGCATTTCCCACACTTTCTATTGGACCTCCGTTCTCGGCGAGGTACCCTGCTAGAATATTCGGGATTGCCTTGAGCAAATAGCGCCGTGGCGGGGAAAAGGAAGGACTTTCGAGTCGTGCATGAGCGGCCCCAGATTAGAAGTCTGCACCAAGTCTTCTTAAAGTTCTTTTGCATCTGCCAATGCTCGCTTGGCCTCGCTAAGTCAGGAGTCTTTACTCCTTTGGATTTAGTCATAGTACGATCTAGATCCACTTTATTGATATTGTACATAATAGCGCGCTCCATACAATTATAGTATGTCACTAACATTTCCACATTTTCACAACAACTTGATGTTAAACCCAAGTCAAGCCAATTTGTAATTGGATAGAGCTTGGGATTCCATCTGATCCGAGCTTACATAAGCCCATCTGCGCACTCAATGCTTCAGATCTATTATATAATCCGCCTAGAAAATGACATATTTTGGAAAAAGACTTCTCTTTCCATTCAACAACGACCTTCATCTTAATCCTCAGGACTTGCAACTCATCATATTTTGCAGATAGAGCTCTGGAATACAGGAGCAATGTCTGACCAATTTCAATTCTCACGCCAGGCTGAACAGGGCGACTACGACAATAAAAGCCAAAAAAGTGAAGCAAATAATGATGTGACTCATGACGCAGTCTTTGGTGAGATTAATGAAGATGGACCAAATTATCGAGGAGTATGTACAGAGTTATCTACTAAAGTGTATGGTTGCTAATCATCGTCAGGTTGGTGCTTTAGGTTCGACTGCCCTTATGCTCAAGACCAACTTGGGTCTTGGTGTTCTTTCAATTCCAGCTGTTTTTGACACGTTGGGTATGATTCCCGGTATCATATGTGTCCTTACCATGGCTACGATCACGGGTTGGTCACAGTACATGATTGGAGTATTCAAGAGAAAACATCCAGAAGTGTACGGTATTGAAGATGTTGCTGGTATCATTTTTGGAAATGTTGCTCGTGAGATCGTTGGTGCTGCATTCTTTATTTGTGAGTAGCTCCGTTTGGTTGTATAGATGAGTTTTATTCTGACCAGTTCATCTAGTCTGGGTTTTCGTATCTGCATCTGGTATGCTCAGTGTTTCAATCGCCTTGAATGCGTTATCAACTCATGCTACTTGCACTGCTGTGTTTGTGGTTGTCGCTGCTATTATTGCCTTCATTTTCTCCAGTATCCAAACCCTAGGCAAGATCACCTGGCTTGCATGGATTGGTGTAGCTGGTATTATCACTGCTAGTAAGTCAATCAGTCGTCATTGTGAGGAAAACCCCAACTAACACGTGCAAGTTCTTACTCTCACAATCGCCGTTGGTGTTCAAGGAAAACCAGCCGATGCTCCTGTTACAACAGGCCCTTACAAGTCCGACTTCAAGCTTTTTGGCTCTCCATCATTTACTGATGCTATCTCTGCCTGTGGCTCGCTTGTTTTCTCGTTCGCTGGAACTCCTGGTTACTTCAACATTCACTCTGAGATGCGCAATCCAAGGAGATATACTCGTTCAGTGTATATCAGTCAAGGCTTCATCACGGCTATGTACATTGCAATCGGTATTGTCGTCTATTACTTCTGTGGATCTTATGTCGCGTCACCTGCTCTCGGTTCCGCAGGTGACACCATGAAGAAAGTCTGCTACGGTCTTGCTCTTCCTGGTCTCTTGGTTAGCACCATCTTGCTTTCTCATGTAAGTACAGCTCGAATCTCTCATCTCTTCTTCTCTAACATTTCCCATAGCTTCCCGCAAAATTCCTCTTCCTTCGTCTCCTCCGCGGATCCAAGCATCTTACTGTCAACTCCATGACCCATTGGATGGTCTGGCTCGGCTGCACTTTCTGCGTCATTATTTGCGCCTATGTCATCGCAAGCGCAATTCCAATCTTCGGCGGTCTTATCTCCCTCATCGGCGCTCTTTTCGGAACCCTCTTCAACTTCCAACCATTTGGTATCATGTGGTTTTACGATAACTGGGGCCTTAGAAAGACCCAAAGATCGCGCTCGTGGATCTTTATGTGCTGCTGGAGCATTTTCGTTATTATTATCGGAACATTTTTGATGGTCGCTGGTACCTATGGATCGATTGTTGCTATTATCGACTCCTACAGTGCAGCTGGAGGATCGAGTTCCTTCAGTTGTGCGGATAACTCGAATTCCGTCTAAGGTGGAAATGGAAGGAGGGGAGTATTAATATCAGATCAAGTGTAAGTCTTGGTAATCTCGAGCCGCGGAGTCCTTGGATCAAACTTTCGACGAGAGGATCCCGAAGAAGGGATGGGATTTCACGCCAAGTGCACCTGTCGCGCCGAATTATCTCTGTGTCATACGCATCTACCTTGACTTCATCAATTGAGGATTCTGAGTAGTCCCGCGAAAAGGACGAAGGGTAACCAAATCAAATCCACGTCGCCATTTCTGAAACATCCAACTATGTACCCGGAGTACGAAATCCAAGACCTAATTTATCCCGGCCATTCTTCACACGCACCACGCACCAGGCCACAGGATATCGCCGCGCGCTCCACCGGAACTCTTCACCAAAAGTCATATTTACAGTTGAACTATATCTATTCTACTTTTGAACTAGAATTATTGTTTACTTAGACTAGAAATATCCATTACATTTTTGCGAGGGGGAAAAATGCTTTTTAGTAAAAGAATAGAAGGAAGTCAAAAAATGGTCTGGTATAACTAGAAGGTGCTAGTTACTGGTATAGCTAGCTCCCCGAAACCAGAAACCGGCACGCACAAAAGTTAAAGAAATAGAAGGAAAGTCAAAAAAAGAGAGGGATGCCAGACGGACGGGCAAAAGTTTACAAGGGTCTGCAAAAGTTTACAAAAGTCTCGCCGATTGGCGCATGTATTATGAATCTGATGGTCAAACAAATAATTTTAATCGTACTGTTGATGTCTCGTGAAAAGGGTTTATGGTTGGTTTATTGTTGAAGTGGCTGCTGTGAAATGATTTCTGTGCTGGTTATATCGTGCTTGTGGTCTGGGGTTACCAGAGAAGAACAAAGGGTATTTGGGCTCTTGAGTCCTTCCGAATATTGGGATTGTGTAGAATTTTGAAGACGCTGTAGAAATTCAGATATGGTTACATGATTGAATTGTCTGTAAAGTGATTAAATCTTGTCGAACCATCGTCTCTTTTTGAATGTTTGTCTCATAATCGATTTTTTACTTCATTTTAAAATTTTATCGCAGGTCAAACATTCGCTTCATCGTGACTTGATAGAGCGATCTCCGGCAAGATCCAATAGTAAGAGAAAGGCAGTTCTTTGAAAAATCAGATACTAGTGTGGTGCTCAATAATTTACGTTGACGACATAAATGTGATAAAAAAGATACATTTTTTGAGTAGTGGAGATTGTATTCAAATCTAGATTATGCTACAACAAACATCTTTCATTTTGAACACCTTTTCTACACTCACGCCCGGTCCAAGTTTTCAAGAGTGTCCATTATCTTCTTGCTTTGCGACACATGACTCCTATTTGGGCCTAGGGATACAAAGATAATATGGTAAGCTGATGCTCAAAAACGAAGAGAAAATGGAGTAGAAAAGGTAGAATACAACATACCATGTCGACGGAGTTTCTACAGCAATAGGCGACTTTATTCGCTTCCGTACATGTGCTTCGGAACTCGTTGCGATTGGCTGGAAGTGGCATCGAAACTGGGATGAAGTTAACATAACTTTTCCTGATGTGGATGCTCAAAGGGTGAAGGTGGCAGATCACTTACAACGCTCGCATCCATCTTTGTACAATGTCCCGCCTAATTCACAGCATCGAGGTTTACGACGTGTAGCACATAGTTTGCCGGGTGGAAGGGGCTTGGTGTCCTCTGGGTCATCTTGGACATCTAATGCAATATCTTCAGCGACTTCCGCAGCTTCTTCTTCATATTCTTTTTCTACTTCTATGCTTTCGATGGTTGCATCTTCATCATTGGATGAGCTTTCTAATGTTGTGATATTCGTAGATGTAGTATCATTCCTAGTTGCTATGGAATTTTGATGTCCATAAGTAGTGCCATTGAAGAGTTTACTGTCGTCTGCAGTTTTATCGTTGGGTGTATTGTCAATATAGGCACCAGTGGCTGTGCTAACAGCAATGGTAATGATAGCAATACATGAAAACTTCATAATGGCATTCTTTGATGGAATGCAAGCAGAAGAATATCAAGAAAACTGACATGTAACATGTGATGGAGAAGGATTTCCTCAACAGAAGATTAGGTTGGATGCTAAAACGGTAGCGAGTGGGCAATACCGCACATCGTACAACTGCCTTGCATACAAGACATGGCCAACCTATTAGAGTATTGATCGAGAGGGATGTCTAATCTAGTCCAATGGTACAAGGAGATTATAACCGCGCCTTCAGTTGACAATACGCCGGATGCATTATCGTTCGAGTTTACCGGGTAGTTCCTACTTCGCTCGAAGTATGGGAACTGAAAATCAATCCATATCCTTAACTACAGGGGAGAGTGTCCAAACATACAGACGAACAATTAGCTCGTGGTAGTAGTTCCTCCAAGACTACCTTAAATTTTGGTGTCTCCAAGCATCCTTCTCATATCTCTCCGTTCTCTTTCAACTTGGGTGATGACTTGCATACTCCTTAGTGATATGCAGTGATATGTGGGTCACTACCCGTCATTTACCGGTACTTAACGCAATGGTTAGGGACAATTAAGAATTTCAAGGATTTCTAGTTTGGAAATATTACTGAAGAGGAAAAAAGGGATTTAGTGCAGTACCGAGAACATTAACAGTATCACGTGTCAACCCCGCCTTTTTCGGAATTGACTTCGACCACCAAACGGGAAAGCTGCCAGGCCGACTCCAAGCGGAGTCCAAGCTGATCAAAGGCAAAAGGCCAAAATGTCATGATGTAATTGAGCGATGAAACTCAATTCGTCATTATTGTACAGATCGAAATGTTATAGTATGTTCCATTGTTTACAGGTAGGTTGTCTCTCTTTCTAAAAATATTTCTCATTCATTGTTCATTCGCAAAGTAAACAATTCAACTGTTTTATTATACCCAACCTTTCAATTTACTATACTCACCATGCCTTCCATTCGATGCCTTCACTCTGCTAGCCGCACAATGGCCTCCATCCGAACCATTCAATGCCGACAACCGGCTTCTATTCGAGCCATTTCTTCTACACCACTCCGAGCTGCGACTCAGGGCTATGGAGATGGTAAGGGCCACCCAATGGCCGAGAATCCTCAAGACCAAGGTGCCTCAAACAACACAAAGCATAGTGCAGAACACCCTGGTCCTGAGCCAGTATCTGAGGGACAAGGAACTGGTGCCGGCCCAACGAAAGGCGGTTCCGGTGGCCCAAAATCTCCTGAAGATGCATCGGCACAATCTGGAGGATCAAGATCGAAGGAAGCAAAGGAGACTGGATCCAGCCCTACAGGTGGTTCTATCAAGGAGAACGGAGGTAAGAATAAGAACCCAGAGGAGAAGAGCGTCAACGGAGCTTCGCCCAAGATTCACTCCGAAGACGAGCCGGGTGTGAAGAGTTCGAGCAAACAAGCTGAGGTTGAGAAGCATAACAGGGAGTTCAAAAAGGGACATGACAGAGGCGCACAGAAGGTCTAAGGATTAGATTGACAGGAGCTTTGATGTGGTGAGTTCATGAAATTGGTCAAAGCCGTGTTTTGAAGCTAATGGATAATTTCTTGATAGATGATGTAGGAGTAGATCAGAGGTTAATGCTATGTTATGTTTGGCGAAGATGTTCTCTTCCATGATTCTGTATAAATATCATTTTAAATCGAATTTCATATGTATTTTCCACATCAGACAGGAATATCACATTTCGCAATGGGGGTGTACTAGCTTATTATATGATGATTGGTGATTGAAGTCGTCGTTAACAATCAATCGATATGATTTTCCTCTCTTAGTCCGATTCATTTTTTCATTCTTCGTAGTTCATTCAGACCTCAACTTCAGATTTCACTTCCTTCAGACTTCACTTCGCACACACGTAATCTTACAGCTCTCATCCATAGCTACCCCACATTATCAGAGATGGCAAATATATATATCTTGGTCCGTGCACCCCTTTTGGGCCTTTTCAAGCCACATCTCTCGCACATCATCCTGGTATGACAATTATGGATGACAATATGACATCAACGTCAACAAAACAACTGGATTCCCAGTGAAGATGAGGAGAGAAACGCGTCAAAAGGATTGGTACCGTACTAAAAACTCCCATCTGTTCCAACTTTTCCATTAGAGGAAAATCTAGATTTTTCCACGACTTTCTAATGAAATGAACCAATTACCTTGGAATACAATTCCTTAGCTTTCTTTGTTGATTCTCACACAGAAATTCATTGGTTGCATAGAAAAGCTACGTCACTTGTTCTTGCTTTTGCGGAAGCTTTGCTCCAGCCACATAGGTATTGTGTGCAACGTCAACAACATAACTTCTCCTGCTACCATCAATCCTTCTCCTCTTCTAACATCTCAAAATCATATCACGAATTGCTTGTGAAGTTCTCCATTTTCTTTTGCAGCGATACCCAGAACTTTGAAGTTCAAGATAAGAAGAGTAAGAAGGAATAGTAGAACTCATCACACAGGATGAAGTTCTTTACAAAGCTGTTGGTGTTGGGTTTGGCAGCAGAAGTTACAGTAGCTAGTAGCTGGTTCAGTAAGGCTGGTATGTTTACCCTTTTCATCCATTCTGTTTTCATAGCATCACCAAGCTGCCATATTCTGTGTTTTTGAAGCTTCAGACGGTATCATATCATTGATTTTAGGCAATGAATTGGCTTGCACACATCACCTCCCGTGTCTATTTCGTCTGATGTTTATTCATTCCTTTTACTAATATATCATCTTTCCAGTCTACAACAAGTGGCATGAAACCGAACTCGAGAGATGGCTTTCTGATAACAATGTTCCATACCCAACTTCTGCCGATCGTAAAGATTTGGAAAATTTGGTGAAGGAGAACTGGCAAACAAAGGTTGCCTCGCCATATAACGATTGGGATACGAAACAGCTCAACTCTTACTTGAAACAGAAGGGTGTTGAGACTAAAGACACTGCTGAGGCAAATAAGGATGGCTTGATCTCTCAAGTCAAGGCTTACTGGTACGAGGCGGAAGACAAAGCAGAAGATGCTTGGTCAAGTGTTAGAGATTGGGTTTTTGATAGCTGGACTGGTAAGCTTGTCAATGGCTAAAGATGCTTTTGAGCATTCACTAATATCCTCACAGATTCTCAACTTCTGGCATTTGCTGATTACCATCACATTCCCGTTCCACACCCAAGGAAGAGAGATTCTCTTCTTCAAAAGATTCGTTCCAACTATGACACCATTGCCAAGAAGGCCGGCGAGACTGCTGCCTACCCCGGCAACTGGCTCTATGAAACCTGGTCTGAGTCAGGTACGTTGCTAAGATTCAAATACACATTTATCTATACAAACACTAATATTGTCACAGATCTCAAGGAATTTCTCGATACCCATGGCATTCCAGCACCTCAACCATCCACTCGTGACAAGTTGATCGCTAGTGTACGCCGTAATGCTCGTGTTGCCAGTCTCAAAACTGCGGATGTTCAAGCCTCTGCCTCTGCTTCAGCTTCTGCTGCTACCGAGACATTGAGTGAGCAGCTTCTCAGTGCCTGGTCTGATTCTCGTAAGTTTGTTATTATCTTCTTTAATGATCAACCAATTAACAAGGTACAGAAATCAAGGAATGGGCCGACAAGAATGGTATTAAGGTTCCTCAAGGAAGCAAGAGAAATGAATTGTTGGCTATCGCTCGTAAGCACAAGGCTCAACTTGTAGGAGACACTGCCGCAGCTTCTGCTAAGAGCGTTGCAAGCAAGGCAAGCTCTTCTGGAGTATCCGCTTTCGGTGCTGCCACAAGCTCTGCAGGAAATCAATATGCCAAGGCTACTGATGATGCTCAACTAAAGGCTGAAGATGCTTTCAATGCTGCTATTGGATCATGGAGCGAATCCCGCCTCAAGGCTTATCTTGATGCCAGAGGTGTCCCCGTCCCATCATCTGGAAAGAAGGACGATATCATTGCTGCTGTCCGTTTACACAAGCACAAGGCTGCTACAGGATGGTCTGCTTGGACCTTTGACACCTGGACTTTGGACAACTTGAAGGCTTATCTAGCTTCATCCGGTGACGCTGCCGCTAAGAAGGCAGCAGAGAAGTCAGGAGCTACCCGTGACGAACTCGTTCGCGCTGCACAAGATTCTTATGCTCAGGCGTCCAAATCCAGTGGTGTTGCATATGCTAGCGTCACATCCTATCTCACTCAACAAACTGATGCTGCCAAGGATGCTACATTCGAGACTTGGTCTGATTCCGACTTGAAGGCTTATCTTGATAGCTATGGTGTCCCTGTCCCACAAGGAAGCACTAAGAATGAACTTGTTGCTTTCGTCCGTAATCAAGCCAACTACTTCAAATATGGTAAGAAATTTTGTCATTCCTTGAATTTGATTGACCGCTAACGATATTCAGGCACCACTACACCACAAGGTACTCTTTGGGCTAAACTCTCTAGCGGTGCACAATGGGTTATTGACCAACTCTCTATCGGCGCTGCCTCGGGTAAACAGCAAGCTGCTTACCAAGGCGAAAAGGCTGCCGATGCTGTCAAGGAGGGAGCTACTTATGCTACCAATCGTGCCGGTGAAGCAGCACAAAAGGCTGGCCATGCTATTAAGGAGGAGTTGTAAACCTATTAATAGGTTACTATGACTCAACTTGCAGCGCAGAAGGCTGTAAATTGTACCACCACATCATTAGGCGTCTAATATCTCGAATCGAAAGCGAATTAACGGATCTCTTTAAGTTGGTGGGCATGAATCTTCCTATGGATTAGGATAGGGGGGTTGGATGGGTTACATGATCAATGAGGGCAATGAAAAAAATTAATTTTCTATTTTTTAGTCGTAGGATGAGTGAATTGATAATATTGCTGATTGATAACTTGGGTTGATGAATGATCTCTTGATTGTGAATGGCAGAGCAGTTAATAAATATATTCAGATCATTAAAAGCTATCCATAATATGAACAAAGATGGGCAAAGCTGTAGCTGTAGTGTTGGTCAATGAGGAACTTCCTTTTTAGGCTTATCTAAGTTTATCGGCCCCTTCATTTATGAATTTATCCCCTAGTGTTAGAGCGTTTCAATCGTTGTCAGACAGAACCTGCTTTTTTCTCTCCAAATGCCATACACATTCACCAATCAATACTATCGAAATCCCTGTGGATTCACCAATTCTATATCACATTTATAGGGTATGTTTGTAGGGAATATCTAATTCATTAGTGGTCGAAAGCCTGAAAGCTTCTACGCGTGAAGTATGATGTAAGAATCTTGATGAAGTCGAGGAAGTTGGATGATTATCATATGCAGGCAGGTATTGTATAGTAAGATATTTGTTTGTTAGGATATCTAGAGAGATATTGTCAATTTCCCCAACGCAACTTCTCCATGAGAGGAAGGCTTTCTATGATAAATATCAATTGTGTTTTGCATGTTTTATGATTTGATCGAGATTGATTGAGATTGGTTGACCTTTTTTGCTTACATCTTTTGGGCCTTGAATTCATATACAAATCGCGATTCTGGGTACAGTCCCACGAGTTTACGGAGATTTTAAGATTTCTAGGGATCTGGTGACTGGAGGAACGAACAAAAATGGGTGGTTTAACAATTGATCGGTCGAAGACGATACATGTATCCTTTCGCGGTCCTGCTGCCTCGGCAAATGTGGCAAATCAATCGCGCGAATGCGAAAAGGCGAATGAATTTACTGGGAAGAAAATCAGGACGGTCAGAAGGTCAAGATTTAGAGAAGAGGGATTGGATGATGAGGTGATTGAAAGGGTGGATGTTGGGAGTCTGGGAGGGGAATTCGCAACTGTAGGGACTGAATTGAGGACAAGAAGTATGTGGAATGGAATATCGACAAACATACCGACTTCGCCAGTTTCAGGGGAAAAGAGAGGAAGGAAAGAACCACATGATGATGAGTCGAGGGCAGCAAAGATTGGGAAGAGTGGCAGACCTACAATTACGACTTCGAATACACCCCCTACACCATTCTCTACGATGCCGAGATTTGCACTACTCGCATTTCTGATTGCGGTGGTTGTGCCTGCATTTGGGTACACTGGGAGGCAGAACAGTAACACGAATTTTATGAAGGGGAACGGTGCGGATGCGGGTATTATAAGGGACTCTGAGTTTGTAGATAATGGGAGTATGATCGAGGGGAGGGCTGACAGTCCTACTTCGATTTGCACAAGATGGAGTCATATGAGTATGTTTTTGCTTGTTTGCTTGGATTGGTGGATATAACTAATCGAGAACATCTCAGCTGCGAATGTCAATGGAACGCTATACATATATGGAGGAGAAGCCACCACAAAGAGTGGGCAAACTACAGATACTTGGAGTAAGGGCTTCAATCAAAGTAATTGGGAATGGTATTAATACCTCTACAGACAACAACTTCGTAACATTAGATCTTACAAAATCATGGCAAATTTCATCCCCAGTTCTATCCGGTCTACCACAACCATCAGGCCCACCTGCAGTAGCGATGGGCTCTCTCTGGCACACATATGATTCGTTGTTTCTATATGGAGGGGAATTTTCGGACAGTCCACAAACTTCCCCTGCGGCAGTAGCAACATGGAAATATGACATTTCGTCGGCGACCTGGACGGAGTTTTCAAATCCACAAACATCGGCAGGGAATGGTTCAGATACTGCACCGGCGGATGTTCAGCGTGCGGCGGAGGGTGCGGGGCTGAGTGTTCCAGAATTGGGCAGAAGTTGGTATTTTGGGGGACATTTGGGTAAGCATCATGTTTCCCTCGGTTGCTCAGGTTGGTATGGACAATCAATGAGCGGCTAACTAATATTGGGTGTGCACAGATATGTACACGACGCCCCGGTGGTCAAACCAAATTGCCAGGATATATTTGAAGAGTCTTCTAGAATTCACTCATCCTGGATATACAAATACTGGAGTGACTTCATTGGGAACTACGAGTGGAGCTGGTTCCGGTGGTGTATACAGGAATATTACGCAAGGCGGCTTGCAAGATGAGGCTGGCTTTACAGAGAGAGCTGATGGTGTTTTGGTATATGTTCCTGGCTGGGGAGCAGATGGAATGCTGCTTGGACTGGCAGGTGGCACTAATGAGACATTTGTAAGTCATGAAGCCCCAGTCATGATTTCAAGAGAACTAACATATACAAGACGGAGATGAATATTATCGACGTATATGATATCGCAAATAGTACTTGGTACAAGCAGCCTACTTCTGGAACAACTCCTCCCATTCGTGTTGATCCTTGTGCTGTCGTTGCTGCTGCGCCCGACGGTAGCAGTTTTAACGTTTATTTATATGGAGGACAAAATCTCATTCCATATGGTAACCAAACTCAGTATTCCGATATTTGGATTCTAACCATTCCATCTTTCACTTGGATTCAAGTCGATATGACAGACCAGTCTCAATCGTTACCCCCAGCTCGAGCAGGTCACACCTGTAATCTTTGGGACGGACAGATGATAGTCGTTGGAGGCTATGTCGGTCAGGATATTTCGTGTGATAGTCCTGGTGTATATGTCTTCAATGCATCGTCACTTCAATGGACCAATTCCTTTACAGCCCTCTCGTCTTCCTCTTCCTCATCATCGGACCAAGACTCCGATATCATTAAAGGCTCGATAGGCTATACCGTTCCCGATATCGTACAATCTGTTATTGGTGGTTCAGGAATGGGAGGTGCAACAGCGACTATACCGGCAGCAGGATCAGCAACTGCCGGTCCCTTAGCAACGGGAAAACCACCTACTTTCACAGTAACACAATCCCCATCTACAATCACTTCTACCTCTACTTCTACTCCAACGTCATCTCCTGACTCGGAAAAAAAAGGACCAAATAAAGCCGCCATTATCGCTGGTGTCATTGCAGCTGCACTGGCTTTTCTGGCTGGATATCTGGCGTTTTGTACTTGGCTTTATAGGAGACAGTTGAACCTCTATAAAGATCATGTGGCGATGTCGCAGAGAACGGCTTTCGTGCCTGCCGGTAGAATGTTTAGGGGCTCGGGTGGATCAAGTCGAGAAGATAGAGGGATGATGCTGGGACCGTTTGGGACGGATATCAGTGGCGCAGGTGGGGTACAGACGCCTAGTGTCAGGTCTGAAGGGGGAGGTCTCTCGAGTTCTGGAAATGAAGGAAGTGGTAGCGGTAGTGGGAATGAGGATAGGGGAGGCGCAAGTGGAAGGGGGAGTGGAACGTATGTTTTTGGAGGCGGAATCATGCCAGGAGGAGCATCTTATCAGACCATCGATGAAGAAGATGAGGGGGTCGTAATGGGAGGAAGCGAGAGTGTAAGAGCGGGATGGAGGGGTCATAGAAAGGGAATGGGGAGTGTAGGAAGCACGGGGAGTATTACGAGTAGTTTGGAGGATTTACTGGGGGATAGAGAACCAACTTTCTTTAATGTGGTAATGAATCCGAGGAGGACGTTAAGGGTTGTTAATAGTGATTAGTTTCTGGATGCTGGGAGGGGGGAGTACTGGTCTTCATTGATGGGCTGAATAAGGGAGGAAATTGGGTGTAGATTGGTGTGGTTGGTGGGTTTTGTGGGTAGATTTACGGATGGAAATATATGGTCCAAGTCAGTTTGGGATGGTTTGGTTCGGTTTGGCGTACATGCGTGTATACTTGGATACGGATTCTGTTATTGGGAATATACAAACAGGACACCTATGTATAATGATATTGACTTCAATACTATTTTGTTAATATTTTTTTTTTCTAAAAAGAATTATAATAATTAGTTTTTATCAAAAAAGGCTATGATTATCGGAAATAGACAGTAAGTTTTCCGTGTATTTCCGTATTTCTTTTTGACCACTATTATATTGTTCTTTCAATGCAGAACAACAATTGAAACAAATCTTCCAGCACCAAACCAAATTTGAGGTTTCTGTTATACAATGGACTCAATTAATGTGACCTTGAAGGAGATCCCTTACCAACTACCAGCAACAGTATTGGAAGCACTCTTGCGCTTAACCCAGAGGGCGGACGAAAAAACCGTTGAAGTTCGATATCTTGTGAATAGCTCGATACCAAACCGTATTATCGGAGACCCCATTCTTTTATGCCAGGTTGTTATGAAGTTGGTTAGAAATGCCATAAAGTTTGCAGAGCAGGGGCAAATCAACATTACAGTTCAAATCGCAAAACATGATCCCGCCAATGCAGAAGAACAAGCTCTAGAGATTATTGTCTCAGATAACGGTACTGGGATTCAGAAGGGCGACCTTGACTTGATTTTTGATACTTCCCGGCAAGAGAATGGTTTACCATATCAGAGACGAAGCGGTTCAAGCTTCGGCCTATCTTACTACAAAGACCTTGCAAAGCAAATGGGAGGAGACCTCCGGGTGGAGAGTCGGTATGGCAAGGGGGCCTCGTTCTTCTTTACGAGCGCATTGCGGCCCGCCGTCTCCGATGAAAACTTCATCTCGGAGCAGCTCAAACCGTACAATGGCCACAGCGTACTTTTCATTGATCAAGGACGGACCGGGCACGAAAGGCAAATCGCGTTGGTGCTGGAGGCACTTGGTTTTGTTCCAGCCACTGCTGATTCAGTCTCACACATTGGGCAGCCACGAGAGAGGATGTATGATATTATACTCGTCGACTCAATAGCGTCTGCGAGAGAAGTTCGCTCGATAGATGTGTTTAAGAAGGTTCCAATCTTGTTGTTGGGATTACCAGTTCCCTTTAGCCTCTCACCGACACTAGATCTCCACATCGCCTCATATATGACAATGCCTTGTCTGGCGATTGATCTTGAATATGACATACTTCAGTCTTTAGAGAAACAATCACCACCAGTTCCAACTGACAATCTCTCCTCATTGACTATCCTTCTAGCTGAAGACAATTTCATTAATCAGAAGTATTATAGAAAGATTCTAGAAAAATATACCCATGTCGTTACAGTGGTTAACAACGGGCTCGAAGCTGTTGAAGCGGTTAAGGCAAAAAAATACGAAATTTTGCTAATGGATGTAAGAATGCCAGTCATGGTAAGTTTTCCTGCAGTCAATTCTAGCTTTATATAATAACGGGGTTGTAGGGCGGCTTTGAAGCCACAGTGAAGATCAGAGAATATGAGCAGAGTCAAGGCCTTCGACAAATCCCAATAGTTGCCCTTGCTCTCGGTACACGAGAAGAAGAAGAGTGTTTGAAAAGAGGGATGGGTGAGTGTCTTTCTAAACCGACTGCTGAAAGGCACTTAATCAGAATGGTCTCTAAATATGTACGATATAAGGATGTAGATAGTTTGTCTTGATTTATCATTGTAATATAGTGTAGTTTTATAAGGGCTAGTATCTATATAGGGTTGTGGTTAATGATCTTATTAGTTGATCCAGGGCCGAGGGGAATAGAGTGTGTATATTGATTCTCATCGATATTGAATATGGTACCGTGGCTTGGGTTGTGCAGTGGCCTTTAGTGAGGACCATCTGGTGATGAATCGCTAAGATCTATGTCCCTTATACCAAGCTTTGAGTTCTCAAAATCTAACCTATCGAAGTTATAACTTGCTCCAGATGAGAGTGAATTTTATTGAATATAGCGATAACCATGATAAGCACACTCAATACTATAAGTGAATCTAGTAAAATCTAGATCCAAATCTAGACCGCTCGTGGGGTTTTGTTGCACATCTGATCGATCTCGAAATTGACGTAATCAAGTTTCTTAGACCAATAGAAGAGCGAGCGCAAGCTTGTAGCTTTAGCAAGAGCCAATAAATCATAAGCCTCAGAAATGAACTTTGGGAAAGCACGCTAGTGGATGATCATACTTGATCCAATGGAATTGTTAGTATTGGATTATCAGAGCCATGGGCAACGCTCAGGCTGCAGTCTGATTGAAGCTGCTTGATAGAAATGGCTATAGGAGGTTCACAACTTTCATTGATCTCGATGAACCCATCACAACGAATGTTTCACCTTTACCCAAACTCAGATATGCAACAAAATGTTCGCGGTCAAATTCTGATCGCATCCTACCTGAGACGAGAACATCCGTTAGTGAATACAATGTAAACCTCAAGAGTTTTGTTGCATATCTGATGTGTATTGATGTTCGCGTGAGTAAAATCTAGCAATCAAGTTGGAACTAGCAATGAACTAATGATGGGCTAGCAATAAGCTAGCATATATATGATTTTGAGATATGCAACAAAACCTTCATGTTGGAATTCTGATAGATCGAAACCACGTGCTGCTCGAGACGAGAATATTTACAAGTGAATACGCTGTAATTAAAAAAGTTTTGTTGCACATCTGACTCGTATTGGTTTTCGCATGAGGGAAAAGCTAGCAAATAATTTGGAACCAGCAATGAACTATTGATGGGCTAGCATCGAGCTAGCAAGGAGCTAGCATATATGTGATTTTGAGATATGCAACAAAACCTGAGAAAATGTAGTTGATTCACTACTTCGCTCAACAGAATTCAGTTTGGTAGTTTCACGAGTTTTGTTGCATATTTGACGCGTGGCGGTTTTCGCGTGAGTGAAAAGCGAGCAATTAAGCTGGGACTAGTAATGAAATACCAACGGAATAGAAATGAGCTAGCAATACGCTAGGGTATATATGATTTTGAGATGTGCAACAAAACGAGAAAACGTAGGGTATTCACTATGTCGTCTAATAATAGAATTTGGTTCGGTAATTTGGGAAACTTTGTTGCATGTCTGAAGTACAGGAATTGTTTCGAGAACGGCATCGTGCAGATACAGGACCGATAGAGTTGTCTTCTGATGATAGTTAGTGATATACTAGCAGATGTGGATGTAAGGCAGCTAAATATGAGTACTTGTAATCGCCCTTAGCTTGATCTTGATGGGAAGGAAATTGACCCTGATTGATGAGGGTGGTTGCTGTTGAGACTGCTTCTATTAAAGTGATTTTCTTCAGATATGCAACAAAACTTTATGGTGAATTATTTTTCCATCACAGCCTTGCACTGGAAGTGAGGTATGTTTGGTACATTAGTTGTGGTTAGGAACTTGGTTGTATATCTCATCTGAGCCATAACGTTTAGATCGGTTGCAAAATCATGATTAAGGTTAACAAGGACAGCAGTGTTGACGTTCAAGTAGATACCAACGTTGGTGATCTTCAAACCAGAACTATTATTTGGACTTGATCGACGATGACCAGAACTCGAAAAAAGGATTACAGATATGCAACAAAATTTCCCATTTTGTAATTGCAAACTTTAACCGAGACTCTTTTTTACACCGTGTTTATATCCTCTTTCCAAAGCGGGGAAGCAGAGAGAACTAGAATTGGGAATAATTCTTCAACGTCACCCGTATCACACCATGCCAAAACAAGCAAGGACAAGGTCGAGGTGCATCAAAGTTGAGAGAGTCGTTATAATTATCCTACCCATGAACTACCGAGATGCTCAATAAATGCTAGTGACGCGACTTTCGTAGAGGCGGTTCTTTTTGGAGATCTGAATACATAAGCGCATTTTCTTGGAGGCTGAAGAAAAGGCGCAGAGTTGTTTCTGGTAATCGCTGTGTTTTGTCATGTAAGTATCTCGAAGTTAGAGACTTAAAAAGCCATATGTAATAAGACTCACCCTATATCCACCTAATCTTCCATAGGATTTCTACTATCATCTATCCGTCTCATCGGTAGACCTCCCTCCCTCAAAATAATCCCCGAGTTTACCAACATAATCCTCAAATCGACTTTCAGCTTCTCACTTTCCTCGATATCCTCCATACACCAATCGATATTCTCCTGGACTCTGACAAAATGTTCCCGCCATATACACTCGTGGAAAATTTTCAAGAACGCCTGTCCATGCTCCAGAAGACTGGGATCTTCCTCATAACTCTGTATCATTTCCTCTAGCTCATGACGTCTCCCATGCAACTCCATGATTTCCTTATTCTCAGGAACACACTTGATCATTGGCTGTTCACGAAGTAGATTTATGAGAGGTTTGATATAATTTTCCACGAATTCCTTTTCACCGTTTTCAAACCGTTGCATTTGCTTTTCGATATCTGCATCGTTTTGTCGTCTTATGTTTTCGGCTTTGTATCCTTCAAATAGTTTTTTGCAAGTATCGATTTCGGCATTTCTTTTGGATATTCGGGATGGGATGGTCAGATAAGCTTTGAGGAGTTCGCCATGCGCATGGATCTGGAGAATAAGAGAATCAATAAGTTGTGATAGGAGTATTGGAATGGAAAAGTGCTTACCATGCTATCATCAATACCACGGCTCCTTTCGCGGGGAGGGTCTGCTGATCCGTACAGTTCTTCCAGTTCCGGTTCTTCCACTTCTGATTCTTCAGAACCAAGGTCTGGCGTATCGAGCTCCATTTTGCTTTATTCTTCTTCGACGAGTTTTCTTCCTGCGCTTCTCGGGATTGTTTACTCTGACCTCTTTGTAATGGATGTGGCAGGTTTGGAGTGGGGTTTTATACGAAAGACTGGTTGGGTTGGGGATGTCAAAAGAAGATACCTGTAGGTGCTCAGGTAATGGAGTTGGCAATTCACTAATAACATTGAAAGAGGTTTGGTGAATGTGAACGATTACTTAATTCAACTCACAAAGACATTTGAAGATATGGTGGAAAGGACCCTTAATCATGAATTTATTTTGAGTGCTCCCTTGACCATTCTTATTGAATACATGACTTTGACAGGAGTCTAGTTCTTCAGAGCAATGCATATCGATGCCATTCAATTAGCCTTGAGAACAGATATGGTTGATGTAACTATGCTGTCGGTTGAACCAAACAAATGAAACCTTTTATTGACCGACGAAGTGCAAGTCAACTACAGAGCAACTTGCCCAATATATCATCACGAAGTTGCTTTTGATTCAGCGTTGTGAACCATCCTGACTTCATCTATGTAATGGAAGGCGGGAGAAGAAGAAAGCCTTTCCAATGCTGGTACATAAGGGTATCGTCTGGGCGACTCTCGTTCCTAGCATCGACCTTAATTTCTGCGACGTTGCGAGGACGAGAGACTCCACCTTATGCCTCCTTCTCCACGTTTACTTCCAACTAGAAGAGATGCGCAAGAAAGTCTCATCTTCCTCAATGTTCCACTTTGTAATGATCGATATAAATTAAGAGTATACCTTCGAGCATATTCTCTAGCTTTCCGAGCAGTATATGCCAGAAAATGGTCTCGTAGCGCTGCTAGCTTTGCTTTCCTTTGTTTTTCATCTTCGACGTACCTAGGTAGGTAGATGTTGAATCTTAGTTTCCTTCTTCCATTTTGGTCCCCCATTCTTTCATTGGAAAACTTGACTTCTATTGCTAGTCAACTAGGATGACGTTCGTCCCAAGGTTTTCTTAGGGTTTCTTTTTGGAGAATTGCTTTAAGCAATCTAGGTACTTGATCGTCGTTTGAGTTCCGATCTTCTCTTTTAAAACCAAGTTCATGCAAATGTGAAAATATCTAAATATGAGAATATAGAATGGTGCATGGTGCAGTCGTTGTTGTCTGAATGATTACTTTTAACTGAAGTATTGCATACTTCCCCTGCTTCAGCAATAAGGTTCTGGCCAGAATAGCCAAGATTCGGCTCGTCTATGTGAATTATGCCATCAAGTCGCGGAATACTTATTATATCACTTGGAACTAGCGGTTTATAGAGATCTATGGTTTTGATTGACCTCTCGACCTGGTCTCGAGCATTGTTAGACAACATAGTACCCCGTTCTTGGGATAGGTCGACGTCAACGGTATTTGATGGGCTGATGACGAAGTGGCCAGTGATCCGCGGAGTGTTTCATCCTCGATCAAGTTCGTGCTTGAGTTGTTCAACCCCTCTATGCTATGGGAGAGGAACTATGCAAGTAGGCATTTCACACTACTGGCCTCGCTCGAGGTCATTGGTTATCAAACATTCTTGAGGGATATCATCGCGACCAGGTTCCAGACTCAATATAGTAAATTAGTAAAATGATAGACTTGAGCAGTGAAGTATTGTTACAAAAAGAGCATTCCATCAAGCGCTGTAGAATGTGGCATATATTCCTTCAACTCTACCCATAGCGACGTTGAATGTAACCTGATGTAATTGAAGTCATTGTAGCTGAGCTGAGTATAAAATTGGACCCTTGATGCCCGCCCGACTGATGGTAAACGTGAATGAAGCGAATTTTGCCCAAGGCGGTGAATCTCTCCAATCCACCCCAGCCACTCGAATTAAGGTTAAACGCCTACAATCCTAGCCTCACCGAATACTATCCCTGTGGTAACCGGCGATATCTGCAGATAATTATGTATTTGGTACCTGAATGCAACAGCTGGCGCACTCGGTGAGAAGATATTCTGATTTCATCATCGTTTGATACGATACGTATATTTAAATCTGGAAGTCAATGGATTCTTCAGTGGTTTAAACACACTTTCCATTGATACACCATTCCAAGAACTGAGTCTCTAGATATCTATCGCGCAATATAAAGTTAATTTTGGGTACATTTGGCGGGGATTTTCATAAAATAGGTGGTTGGGCAACGAACCTTGGAATAATATAACGGGTAAATTTCTTTTTCCATTCCTCGGACGATTTTGATCTTCTTCTCTATACACATTCCTAATATTCATACTAATCTTTGAAGTTGATCTAGACCTATATCTCCAGACATTAACGATCCAAAATGCGTTACCATTCTTCATTCCTCGCTTTCTCCCTCCTCACCTCAACCACAGCTCTCCAGATCCCGTCATTACTCTCACCGCCGGAACCTTTCTATGCACCACTTTCCCTCGACCTGGATATTTCCTCAGAATCATTTATAACATCAAATGAAACTGTTCTCCCAGATACTTCACCAGCTTCCTCAAAACCTAAACCCGAACTCCTCAAACGCAACGGAAACTGCCCGAGCAATTACAACTCCTGTTCTACTTTGAAGGATTCATATGGAGGTGCTTGTTGTCCTGCAGCCGCAGTATGTTCAACAGATGCTGCTCATAATGTAGCTTGTTGTGCCGTTGGCGCATCATGCACTGGTACTATCGCAGTCGCAACTGCAACAAGCCCAGCATCAGTTTCTGCGACAGCAACGGGAACATTCGTTCCAAATGCTTATTTCCCATTCCCGATCTTACCTACTTCTTATGTCAACTCTGCAGCATGTGCTAGCGCAACGGATTCTTGTGCTAAGAATTATGCGCTGTGTACTGTTGATCTCGAGGGAGGAATGGGTGCGGGAATCACAATCTCGGCTGCAAATGGTGGTGTTACTGTGGCTGCAAGCACCATCAGTGGGGGATGGTTGCCAGCAGCTAGTGCGGCAAGCGTCTGTCAGAGTTTGAGTAGTGTTGCTTGTAACGCTGTTGAAAGCGCTGGATGTGCGCAATTCGGTACGGGAGCTGCAACTGCTACCTTCGTCATCGGGACTAATGGAGTGGGCGCAATGATTCCAAGACCAACTATGATGAATTGCCTGCCATATGCGGCTGCTGCGGCTGGAGTTATGGGATTGGTGATTTGAGGTGGAAGCGGACAGTTTGGGATTTTATGAGAGTCCATTTGGAATTCAAAGCGGAAATCACGATATGATTCCTATTTGGAGAAGGATGCGATATGCAATTAGTACGGCGGAAGGTTATGCAATAAATGTTACGATATAATGTCTGGCTGGGTATGGTGGAATGACCTGAAGATGAGAGGGTGGTATTTATCTACATGGGACGAAAGGGTTAGCGAGTTGGGGAAAGGAGACGCTTGTGAAAAGCTTGATAAGCGGATACCTATCTTGAGCGATTGAGCATAGTTTTGGCGTTTGACGATTAATGAATAGGGATGAGGATTTCTGATGTGAATTGATATGAGGGCAATCGGTGGGAATTATTATAAATATCATACCTAGATAAATATCAATGTGTACAATTTATGAACATACAAAAGAACAATGGTTTTCTTCAAAGCCTATTCGTGAGGGATGCATGAATCTGAAGTGTTAGGACTAACTTGACTTTGACCTGGGGTTGAGCATGGTGTGCATGCTCGTATGTAGAAAATTCAATGACAGAACAGCCTCGTATAGCTCATGATGAACAAACCTAGGTTCTAATCAACAGCTTATCGGCGATCTAGCGTTTTGGTAACTCGTACACTGTCCGGACGCCTAACCTTTTCCTCCCCACCATGACTACCCCGCCTCTACGTCAGCGAAATAACAGGCGGGAATTGACCATCGTTTGAAAGAACTCTAACAACTAAGATCTTTTTTTGGTATGATACTAAATAATCAGAATACCTATTATTAAGACAGAAAAGACTCAAGTTTTCGTTTTCTTTTTTCAAATTTCAATATTTTATTTGAAATGAATTTATAATTTATTAAAGAAGTTTTTTCAAATGAGGATCAAGTTCTGCTTGTTATTTCGCTGACGTAGAGCCTGCATTCATCATAATCTAACCTCATGTCTTACAAATCACCCGGTAATTCGACATCAACATACTAATCGCATTTTCCAACTACTGTTCTAGTCCCGTTCCCACTCTATTCTATATTCTTGTTCTTGTTCTCATTCCCATTTTCATTGCTATATACATTAGAGTCTCAACATCCGACACAAAACCCTATTCAATTCCTTCATTCCAACTTCCACCACACCACCACCAAACATGACCTCCGCCACCTTCTACCCAAACTTCACTTCCCAGTCCATCTCCACAAACTCCAATATCTCAATCCATACTCTCACAGGACCCAAAGATGGCCCTCCTCTCCTTCTCGTTCATGGTTTCCCACAAACACATCATATATGGCATTTAGTTACGCCGCATTTGGTTGATCACTTTTCTCTTGTGTTGGTGGATTTGAGGGGGTATGGGGAGAGTTCTAAACCGAAAGGTAGTGAGGAACATAAAGAGTATAGTAAGAGTGCTATGGTAGGTTTTTGTGTTTTGTTTATGTTTTTGTGGTGTGTTATGGGTGTTTGTGTTTGTATGTTCTTTTAGGGAATGTAAAATGGATAGTAGATTTCAAAGATTGTGGAGTTAGAATTTCTTTCTATACTATACAATCATACACTCTACAGAACTCACTAACATCCTCTAGGGTTCCGATCTTCTAACCGTAATGAAGCATCTCGGCTATCCACAATTCTCAATCCTAGCCCATGACCGCGGCGCCCGTATCGCTCATCAACTCGCCATCAATCATCCGGAAGCTGTGACAAAGCTTATGCTTCTAGACATTCTCCCCACTCTAACCATGTACGAATTGGGAAGACACTCTTTTTATCAAAAATACTGGCACTGGACCTTCCTTACGCAGCCTTCTCCTTTCCCCGAACAAGCGATTCTTGGGAATCCCAACCTTTTCTCCGAGAAATTTCTAGGAAAGGGTGGAGTAAGTAAAGGATTTGTCATGGATGCGAAAGCTAGAGAGGTCTATGATGGACTGTTGAGAGATCAAGAGAGTTTACATGGAATGTGTGAGGATTATAGGGCTGGGGCGTCGATTGATCTTGAAGAGCAGAGGAGAGATAGAAAAGAGGGGAAGAAGATTCAATGTGATGTTTTTGTGGTTTGGGGAGAGAAGGGCGCGTGTGGAAGCGAGTTTGGGGATGTAGTAGGGCTTTGGAAAGAGGTTTGTGAGGGAAAGGTGGAGGGGGTGGCGGTGGATGCAGGACATTATATTTCAGAGGAACGTCCAGAGGAGTTGGTGAAGTTGGTTAAGAATTGGTTTTGAGGGTGAGTAATAGGAGTGTGCTATTGTAGATGTGGGTTCAGGCGGTGATATCATGATCGTTGTTCCTCGATGCTACGATATTGACAGTGAAAATAAGAAAGTCAATACTAAGATGAAGGTTAAATTCCAATACAAAAACAACCTTTTCACCCAACATCTCACACCCTTCGAAACGAATAGTAAACGACTCGACGAACCGATCAGGGAATAAAAACATAACGACCACTTGGGGATAATACATACAGTAGTATAACCTCGGAATAATCAATTCATTCCACTTTCAGTCCCGTTAAGTAATAAATCCATTCAATCGCTCAAAACTGTAATTTTCAAAACGCTAGCTCTCCATTGAAATATGAAGAACCACTCACTAGTGAGCCGATTATGAATTCGCGATGATTATGTAAAGCTTACCTCAATCCCCACCATTTCATTTCGACAACTTATCATTTCTCTACAATTCAGTTGGACCAGACCAAGCCGACCAAGTGGCACATGAAATCTATAGAATCCAACTTGAGTAAATGCCGAAGGGTCAGTTGGCGAACATCATGAGCTTTTTCTAGGACAAAAGGCATTAGTAACTGGCTTTCAGCACTCACTTTGGTCTACATGACATCCAAACCATGGCCAATCAAGAGAGAAGTACACGACTATGCTGATATAATTCCTTGGGATATCCATCTTAAACAAGATCACTTCCTATCTTTACCTTCCGAACTAAATTCAAATACTACACAAATCTACTTATCAGGATTATAAGTAAATACGTAGTCCCCACATCACGACATTGAATCGGTTCCATCAACAAGACAAAAAATCACACGTGACACACCAAGTGTCAAAGGTAAAGTTTTACTCCCATTTGAATAGCTTCCCGTCTCAATAGTCTCGTAAAACAAGGCAATGGACCCACCATGTGTCGCCAGCAACGGGAATTCCAACACAGCGACTGAATCCCCCCTTTGCGCGATATGTTCCGCACAGCTGGCCTTGGATGACGCCGATTCTGGTGGGGCCCTGAAGAATGAAAATGGGGTATCAGTACTATACTTCCCATATGCAGAGTCACTCAGATCCAGTCGGCACAACAGTCTCGAGATTGAAGAATCTGTTAATACTTGGAAAGGAGGAGTTGTTTATGAGCGAACGGTGACGCCGCCTAATCTGCCGGAACTCTCCGATTCCTTTCCTTGCAAATTCTGTCTTACGCTGAAAAGATCGTTGCTGGATCGCTACGGTGACTGGCTCTGGTGGAAATAATCCTCTTCGCCTCTGCGAATTGAGGGGAGATATCAATGGTACTCGCCTCCAAAGACGCGGAGAACGGATAAGGGACCACATTTTCGACTAAGTGCGTTGGCTATAACTTACAGCCACCCCGAAATGGAGAACACTTATGATCAAACAGCACCAGACAAGTTTCCGGTTATGGCAGAACCTGGTTAGTTGAAGTTTGCTCTAAGTCCTCGTGGTTACGCTAAGTCGCTTACTTTTGGTTTGCTAGGTCGCTGTAGAGATTGGCTTCACATCGAGCAAACTCCTATAGAAAGATCTCCGTCCGGAAAGGTCCTGCGTTTGACCAAAGAATGGATTAAAAAATGCGATTCAAATACAGAGTGCGCAGAGCATCGCAAGTTTTCGCAAAACAAAGTAAATTTCTTACCAACACGACTCCTCTATCTTGGCGATGGTACAACGGGTCAGTGCCCCCAAATTGTGGAGGCAAGAGATTTTCTTGAAATTCGTTCAGAAATTGGCAGACAGCAGTTACAATAAGCATGCCTCAGCTACTGTTGGGGGTCTGATTTGCCGCTGACCACAACTTCTAGTACACTGTCGAAGTACAAATTGGGGTTACCAGAACACAAGATCCCACAGCTTTTTCAGGACGCAATTGCTGTGTCCCGCGGGATCGGTATCCAGTATCTCTGGGTCGACGCCCTTTGTATCCTCCAAGATGTACGCGAGGACTGGGAAAGAGAGGCCTTCATGATGTCGGACATTTTTTATCACTCCTTCATTACCATCGGCGCAGCAACCGCAAGGAGCTGCCATGATAGCATTCTCGATCCGAGAGAAGATCTCTCTTGTACCTTGGGCTTTCAGTCCTCGCTGTTGAAGGAGGTCGTCGGGTCATACTGTATTTATCTCTCTAAAATGTCGCACAAAAGACCCTCTGACACCGATCTATCCAATTCTATCTGGACAAACCGAGGCTGGGTTTGGCAAGAGCAGATCATGACACAGAGGCTTCTTGTATTTGGTAGAAAGATGGTACATCTAAAATGCCACGGTTGCATCTATTCTGAGAATGGAACTGTGAGTAATGTGTTCACGAGCTACATCCTCAGGGCATCGAAGTTTCATACTACAGATATGTTGACTGGTGATTGGGAGAAGTGGATGAATGATTTTAGCGGCAGGCAGTTCACTTTTCCCAGCGACAAACTGGCCTCTGTATCTGGTCTCGCCCTTGCATTCGAAAGAGTATTGGCTACGCGAGGCCAACCCCCGGAGTACCTTGCAGGACACTGGCAGGATGAAAGGTTCCATATCAGCCTGCAATGGACTGTTACGCCAGAGAACAAAGTTCCCTTCCGCAACATGATTAAGGATCTATATGACCCTGAAAAATACTGCGCGCCGTCATGGAGCTGGGCGTCAAGGAATCAAGGCCGGCTTATCATGCTACCCATTGGAAACGATCCGAAGGGAACAAAGGCGGACTTCGAGTTCATATCAAACAATCTGGTTGCTGCGAAGTCAAACGTCCGAGTTAAAACGAGCCCAGGCTCATCTATCACGCTCCGAGGAAGGGTCCGCCCCTTTGTTTATCCTCCAACTGAGAGCACTAGGCGCTATGATAGACTCAGATATATACCCCGCTCTGCGGAGTGGGAAGTCTCTGTTCCTGGAGGTAAGATTTATTATTTCCTGGATTGGAATCCCCTGCTGGACGATACCTCGTGGGAGAAACTCAGGCCATCTCTGCGGCTTTTTCTTTTGACCCATATTGGTATGGGACTCGTTTTGTTATCAGAATCGAATTACGAGCCTGGGTTTCGGCGGGTGGGCGTGTTCCTATTCGTGTCCTCAAACAGAGGCATGAATGGTTCAAGTTGGTCACAACATGGCTTTATTTTCGATAACTTAGAATCCGACTTTCTTCAAACTGGCTGGAATGTGGAAATTGTGGTCCTTTACTAAAGTTCTCGCTTGAATTCGATATATTCTTGTTGAAGAATTCTAATGTTAGTGCTTGAGGCTGAAATGAGTGCTGTGTTGGACGTAACGTAGGTAACGAGGAATCTCGGTCTGCCTAAGCGAAGGGAACTGCTGGTATGAGAGGGATACAGTTGACGTAGCACCTACGATGGTAGGTCCTAATTATCAATATTGCATTCTGTGTAAAGAGCATCTATGCACAGGAAGTAGTAGTTCTCATATAATGGCTGCTATAAGAGCTAGTCTCTTTCACATTCACTTAAGTGTGTCAATACTAATAAGCAAGACTGATCAGACTAAGCATAAAGATCTACATGATCAGGATAAACTTTCCTTACTTTAGAGCTTCATACTAAGGCAATCGTTATACTCATTAGTTACAGTCGGAATAGGAAGCATGTAACTGTGCTAACGTATGCACTAGCATCTCAACATGACAACATATAGGTTTCGCAAGTTACAACAATGTGAACTTTAGTCCCATTTTCACTTCACCATCCCGATGGTGATACTAACAGTTATATAGGTAGTTGTAAAAAAATTACAGTTGTCATTATTTTCATTTAGATTTCTATTCAAGGTCTAGTCTATATCACCGACGTGGTTACTCGTCACACATGGTAAGCCATCAGTTGATCAATAAAGTCGATTCAAGCTTGTGTGCTAGATTGAAATATCGCTTGTTGTTCTGAGATGCTAGTATCTGCACGGATGCAGATAGGTCTTCGTGTTCAATCACTAAGGTTGTCAAAACTAGTGATTTTTCTGCAAAAACCTAATGGCTCTGCTAAGGTTCCCACCCCATATCCAAGCTCATTTCACAACAAACAGGACATCTCTACAAGTACCCTATACAAAAGAGAAAACAAGCACAGCAAAAAATCCAGCACAGCCCTGACACTTTTACCACACGCTCCTCTCCATCACAAACCTCGTAAACGAATTCAAACTCCAATCCGAAGAAGCCGGAAACCCATTTCGAAATTTCCCCCTCCATTCCCTCGCTCTCTCTCTTATTTCCGCATCGCCCATCAATTTCTCAATCCCTATCTTAATATGCTCCTCCCCCGCGCCATCTTCCATATTCTCCGCAACTTTATATCCAATCTTCAAATAATCCACGATCAATTTCGAATTATAAAACTGATCTCCCCTAATCGGCCAAGTCAAAAACGGAACACCTCGTCCTATCGCCTCAGCGGTAGAATTCCATCCACAATGCGATAAGAAACCTCCCGTCGAAACATGAGACAGGATGAGAAGTTGTGGGGCCCAGCCATAAATGACAAGACCGCGTTTTCCCACCTTGAGAGCGAGATCCTCGGGGTAAAATCCCCCGGGTTCTCGTGACTCTTTGGGTACACCAGCTAGTGGGGGTATCACCCAGATAAACGATATGCAGGATTTTTCCAACGCTTTTGCAATGTGAAAATATTCCAGCATGTCAGGACCGACGTCGCTTCCAAATGCGATGTAAAGTACCTCATCCTGTGCTTTAGAATCTAGCCACGCTAGGACCTCATCTTCTGAATGATTCGATAAGCGTTGAGACTGTCTCCCTCTGATGAGCGAACTATCATTCGCAGACTCCCAATATGTTTCAGGGAGAAGTGGTCCTACGTCCCAAATAGGCACGTTCCATTCAGGCATGTAGATTTTCACCTCAGCCGCGATGTAGTCGAGAAATGGCTTTTCCAATTCTTCCCATGTATTGTACATTATCCCAATCGTGCCACTGATTGCCACAAACCATCGCGGTAGATTTCCCGGTTCGGGTGGTTCAGAAAAGGAGGTGAGATCGAAATCAGGGTCTTCAGGTGGCGTCAGACCTGCAAACACTTCTCGGTCAAAACGCCTGTAATCTTCTGATGTAAGAGATATCTCGGCTGGTAATCCCTCAATGGTTTTTTCTTGCTCTCCAGTTTCAAATTTCTCAGCCGCTGCTTTCAATTCCATCACGTGAGACATCATAGATGCAGCACATGCGCCGAAGGAAACGAAGGTCACAATCGGAATATTACAAGTGGCAAAAATATCTTTAGTCCACTCCATTTGAATATCGATGATTGCGCATATAATCGGAGGTGTCGAGTCTGAGGTTATGTGTTCGGTGATGCGGATCATGAGCTGACTGATTGCTTCCAAGCGGAATTGATCAATATCATAGGGTAAGGGTGATGATGGAGTGATGTATAGAAAAGAAGTTAGGGGGTTTTGAATGAATGATTGGGGGAGTGTTGCGGGGATCGACCACGGAGGTTCGAAAGGAGTTTCGATGCCCTGATCGGGGATGACGAGCATAGTGTTGAATTTGCGTGCGGTAAGGCGTGTGCAAAGCTCGATGCATGGGTGGAGATGACCTTGCCCTCCACCTGTGACGACGAATATCTCTCCTTTTACACGTTCCATTTTGATTCAGGATGTATTCAAATTCTCCTGATTTGGCTTGATTATTTGAAGTCACTTAAATGTAAATATATTTAGTAGAAGAAAGAACGTCAAGACATGAAAGGGTAAGGAAGGTGGCACCGAAGTGGAAGCTAGAGGAAGGCTATTGAGCATATACTGATGAAGTGAATTGAACCTCTAAGCCCAAACACACATTGAATATAAGACAAAGCCATAAATGAGCTCCAAAATATAGACGAGTTAAAAGTAGAAACTTGGAGCAGAATCAAACTACCAGAACTTTCGGTATGGGACGATTGATTGGCTATTGTTCCCAAAATTTAGCTTTGAAAAGGTTTGATAACAGGACATGTCGCGATGGTATCATAGAAAGTGCTAAACAATCTTTGACGAGTCACTAAGCCTGGTCGCTATTGCCATGCCCCTTGTTTCCTTCCTCACGGAAATACTACTATACACACTGGACTGTCTGCACAGAACAATCGGGACCAGAGAAGTATGTAGATGCTTGTCAGTAAAAGTATTTTCACTTGGAGAGAAACGCACTCGTCCTTCAGAAGCAATATGACGAATGAATAACCTCCCTTCAGTTGGACTTCCTGAAGAAAATGGCGAATCGACTCATAGGGTTCCTTCCTGCTTGCGCACAAGCTGGGACATGTCTGTTGGGAATAAATGTATGGGACCTTCTGCATTTGAAAAAAGAGAGAAATAGAGCCTTCCACTTGCGCAAGACGTCTTATACTCGACATTATGAAGCCTCTTCCTCACCAAAATCCAACATTGCAGCCATAATACAATACTTATCATCAATTTTGGTTAATCGAATTTTATACTTATTATTATCGGGACCTCTTCATCATTAAGTTCGAAACTTCGAATATATACAACACATCGTGTATCATCCTTTTTGGTTGATAAACTTACCGCCATTTTACTGTATCATTAGTGTACGTCGCAATGCTGGAAAGCCACTTCAATGATGCCAATATGTCCAAGGCCGGTGTTCTCCTGTATAATGCCCCAGATGATTCGGAACAATCTGATTCCGAAGACGGTTTTCACATGGCCAAGATGACCATAAACGTGGGTTCAAATCTCCCAAACGATAGTACAAAAGCCACAATCTATATGGATCGGGTTTGTGGATCAGGAAATTTCAAGAATGCATTTGTATGTCGTTACTGTATTCTTCGCATTGCGGTTTGCTGCTGCCCCCATCTGAATTTAGTACTAATCCGTTGACCAGTTTGGATATTATACAAATGGTGAAAAATCTGGTGATCGCTGCGTGTTAAAGTGCTTTAAGACAGGACCTGTGTATCATGATAATCCATACGAGCAGCAACTTAAGGTAGACAAAAAGGCACAGTCTATCATTGATGCATTCAATGCCGCAAACAGGCCATCGGAATGGCACAGTGATGAAGTCAATGCTGGAAATACTATACCAATATACCCAGTCCGCCTTATCCCGTCGACACTCTGGACTGACAGCAAGACGGGAGCCGTAAGCGTTATAGAACCATTTATTGAGGACTACCGAAAGTTCAACAGCCCCACAGGATGGGTTCCGGGTGATGACGAATTTGCTAATCCAATCCAAGCCTTGAGTCACTTTTCCTATCACATATCTAACCGCAAAATGCTATTGTGCGACCTTCAGGGAGGCGGAGATGCCAATGGATAGTAAGCTTGCTTTCCTACAACTTATCTATTCGGCTCTTTCCCAGTAAATTTCTCAGAAATCAGTATATTCCCTAACTCGCTCACTAGTACCCTGGCAGATCCACTCATTGCATCAGCAAAAAGGCTCTATGGAGCATCAGATTTTGGACCCCAATGTATCAGAGATTTCTTAAAACGTCATGTCTGCGGGTTATATTGCAATCCACGGTGGCTCAAACCTGAGGTGGCTGAAGAGACGGTGATACATCCAATTCAGCGAGGGCTCTTACCACCTTACGACACCTAAAGACGGAGTGAGTATGAGAGGGTCGAATATTTCCGGGACAGTCTGCGCTCCCTTCACTAACAGCAGTTGGGGTTTTGGTATTCAAGGAGCGAAATGATTAGGAAGTTGAGAAGGGAAATATTTTGAATTCCGTCAGCAAATATATCGGACCTGTGAATGGCTTCTTTTTTGGTTGATAGCTTCAGCAACAAATTTGAGTGTCGGCTTCTTTCCATGTCCTTTCCTAGATCAATTATGATATGATAGGATGTTTGAGATTCCATAGCGTTCAACAAAAATAGAGAAACGAGTTTGAGGATTGAGACTTGATCACGTGAAAGTTCTTCTGTGATCCGAATTTACCGAAAATGATGAAACCTGGCAATGCCTGCCGTTCTTACGAAGTTACGAGCCCTTACGAGCCCCTATGATTAGTAAGCAATACAGAAAATAAACATGAACTGAGATGATCATCATTCTGGGGTGAAACTGTGATTTTGTCCCCTGGGGTGATAAACGCCAAAAACCCTCCGAAGATTCGATCGAACAAATCAAAATTGGTTTGATACCACAAGGTTTCAAGGTGCAGGTTGCCCAGGTTGCCATTTCATGCTGGTGTAGATAGATCTTCATACCAACCCGTGGACAAATGTGAAGCAAGGTTACGTGGTTTGATATGTGGCGGCTGGGCGTGTGTGAGTGAGCAGGGTGGCTGTAGCTGCGTGGCTTGAGCAAAAGAATAAAGAAATCCATTCATTTACCAACAAAGTGACGTGAAACATGGATGTATAAAACTTCAATCTCGTAAATTATATGTAGGTATGCATTACATATACTCGTACATCTACGATACATCGACATCGTATTCTATTTATATTTATATTAATATTAATATTTATAATCATCCTCATACTCATACGTCCTCACCAATCCAATCCAGCGAGAAAAAGAAAGAGTTCTAGATGGCGGTAGGTATCCATGGATCCCAATATTATACTTTTCGACCCATATATTGATCAGAGTGATAGAACCAATAGACCAATAGACCCATCACAGCGCCAGAACTCTGAGAAGCAAAGCCTCAATTGAACCCGAGGTTGACATCTTCATTACTAGGTACACATGGACAGGTAAGTAAGCGCCAATTGATCATAAATAACTCATCTACATTTATATTTACATTTGGATAGTCTTCATCATACCTAACCTTATCTAAAGTTGCAAATATTCAAGCGTCAACGTCAAGACCTGTCTAGATCGGTCGTGTGCAATCATTTCCTAATCAATTCTCATCTCTGGATTTCTTGGGGAAAGAGACTTTAGTCACAACTGATCCTTGAATCAACCAATTATTCACGTCAAGAATGAACCTTAAAGGCTATCAAACTTCTTGAATACCCTTGGCAACAACACAGCCTCAAAAATTCTTACATTACACACGGCAGTGAATACACATATCTATTCTCTTCTACAATCCTCATCCATCTCTTCTGTTAAGGGGGAATTTATCCTCGTTTTCCTTACAACTTGATGGGAATCTTTCACCATGAATTCAATCATGAGATCTCGAAATAATGGAAAGATATCCATAGCCGTCGTCCTTTCATACGTATTTGATTGGGTGATTTGTATTGTGGCAGCCGCGCTTGGTTCGGTGTTCAATTACCAGACGCCCAATAAACGACCCTTTTCACTCGTCGATCCAGATATCAGTTTTCCATTTCAAAATCACGAGAAAGTACCCACCTCTCTCCTGGCCGTTTTGGCTTTTGTCGTACCTGCACTCGTCATTCTTCTCGTCACTCTGACTCTGGTCCCGGGCCCAACAGTCCCGAAATCTGTACCCAAAGCTTTGATTTGGAAACGGAAACTATGGGAATTGCACGCTTCTTGGCTCGGACTTGCATTATCCTGCGCCTTGGCATTTGTCATCACGAGTGGAATGAAGAATCTCTTTGGACGACCTCGTCCAGATTTGATATCGAGATGTATTCCTGATATGGAAAATATTGCAAAGTGGGCTGTTGGTGGTGGTGATAGACCAGAAGGAATTGTTTTGGTTCAAGCGGGTATCTGTCAACAAACAGATAGTGAAAAACTCAACGATGGATTCAGATCTTATCCTTCTGGTCACTCATCCTTTGCATCTTCCGGACTTGTCTATCTCAGTCTCTTCCTAGCGTCCAAACTCTCCTTGACAGTACCTTACCTTGCACCTCAAGCTTACAACGCTGATTCCTCACTCTCTCATTCTGCGTTTCCGTCCCGCAACGCTCCGAGTCATCAACGTAATGATTCTGAAGTTTCCGCCAAGAACACGGATACATCAGCTCTCACATCAGGTCACAACGATAGATTAATAGCCTCCCGTAACCAGGCTGCAGCTCCTCCCCTCTACCTCCTCCTCATCACTATCATTCCTACCTTACTATCTGTCTACATCTGTTCAACCCGCTTTTCCGATTTCCGTCATCACGCTTTCGATATCCTATTTGGATTTTTCCTCGGCGTTCTCACGGCCATCTTTTCATTCCGCTTCTACCATCTCCCTCTTTCCCAAGGCGCAGGCTGGTCATGGGGACCCCGCAGTTCCGACCGTGCGTTCTGGGCCGGTGTTGGAGTCGGTAGCTATGCAAGTAATGCGAATAGTCCCGTCGGTGGACTCCATCATCACGATCATCACCAATCCACAAGCTATGAGAGTCACATGACTCGCACTGGAGATTTGGAAGAAGCGCGTATCGATAGTGCGCATGGCCATAATAGAAATGTGAGCAATTTTGAAGTAGGGAATCATCCGCCTCCGAATGTGAATCCTGACTTGAATCCTAACGCAATGACGGTATAATCTTGGGAGGGTTATTCCGATGGCTGTGTGTTAACGAATGTCTTTTTTTGTAGGACAATATCGAACTTTTACCTAGGGTTGCGCAGGCGAGAGTGGTGTAACTGAAGGCGTTTGTTTTAGGGGAATGGTATGGGTATGATGATTTGAAAATTTTCAGAAGAAACAAAACCTTTAGGATTACACATGCGGCGATATTGGTGTATATTGTTCTATGGTGCAAATTTTGTCATGATATCTTTATTCGAGCATCGAGCGAGGTGTTTAGGTTTCTGGGGAAAATCTTATCTTTTGTGTGTTTACTATGAGTACGAGGGAAGCTCTTCGTGTGGTATTGTGTATTGTGTACTATCTACTAGTATCATTTATCATGAGTGTCAATCTCTACGCATATCGGAACTTCCCTTCTTGCCACTTGATACTAGATAGGTGTCTAGAATCTAGATGATTCGATTGTGGAATTTAAGACTGCGGTTCTGTTATGTCGTGTCATACTCATATCATTATCATTTTTAGCAGTCACAACCAAGTGAGCCAGAAGTCATAATAACAGTTTCCCTCATCTGATCTTCGTATCTGCGAATGGGATTATCATCATCATCATCATCGCATGGAGATATGAGTTCATGTACGAGATTGGAGATACCAGGAACTCTGAATCATAATTGTATCTACTAAGCAACATAAGAATCGCGGTAGATGCTGTTGATCGAATATAATTACCCCTCATTTTCCCTCTTTTATTTTGTCTAATTTCATTTTTCCTTTTTCGTTGCTTTCCCCTTCATATTTGTTTCTTCCCATTACATCTCGTCTCACCTCATATTGATTCACTCCTCTCCACCTCCCACCTTCCAATTCCATCACCACAACTTAAATCAAAGTAATGTAAACCATCTCCTCATTTCCACACCACACCACACACCATCCAACCCCATACACACTACACGCTCCCCATCAAATCTCCACCCAAACCCACACCTACCTTAAACAACTCCTCTTTTCCACAACCTCATCTCTTCATTTTCCCCTACAGTAGGTTTAAAGTTTATGCCACATCCGTTCGTGATACAAGACAAGACAAGACAAGACAAAAAACGAAAACAATATCCACATCTCAAACATTCGAACCTACAAAAATGCCTTGTCTCACTCAAGCCTCAAAAACACCTTTAAACAAAAGCGACGAGAAGAGAATCTTGAGGATGAAGAGAAGAGGTGGATAGGAAATATGTTATAGATGATGTATTGCTGCATATCTATGTACTTGTTAGGTAGGTAGGTAGGTACTACTAGATTAAGATATTTATCTGGAATCTGGAATTTTCGATGTGGATATAGATATGCGTCTCTGTGGTTCACAGACGCAGTATAGTTTTGAGAATCATGTGGATTTTTCGAATATAATTTTACGTATAGGGCTCTGTGTGGGATTGTAGGGGAAGAGATATGCTGAAATCATGAATGAATGATTTGCGTTTGCTAGTAGTGTAGTGAGATAAGAAATGATTTGCTGAGGGTTTTTGGGGGTGCTGGGTTAGAGATGATGTTATGGGAGGTACGTATGATGTTTTGGTGATAGGTTTTCTTGGGGTGGAAGATGAGTTTGAATGGAGATGTCAGGAGGTATGAATTGACGGTTGATTTCCGAGGTCATGAAGGTTCATTCATGACTTTCGCATGGGAATATTTGGTTGGATAGAGCTGATTGCTTGATTATTAGATTAATGTTACGGATTCAATGTTTAAATTTCAAATAAAAGTAATTCAGATGAGATTAACTATATGTTTCAAAATGTTTCGTATGTAATCAATATTGTTGGATAGGTATGTGATACTGATATAACAGATGGACAGCTAGTATAGTGATAGATGGAGATTCTCTAACAAGATATGATCTGAAAGTCATTTCACAACGCTATCTTGGACTTGAGTCTCGTATCATGGTAGATGAGTCTATTGATTATGATGTCGGCAAGTTGAGGGAGACGGACACAAAGATTACTTGGAAAAGAGCTTGGCTTATATCTCTGCTCATGCTTGCATAATCCTGCTTAAAACGATGTAGATTTTCATGGGGTATTGAATACATGCTAATATTTACTGATAGTTCTGAGAATGAGAATCATGCCAAAAATCTCAGGACTTGAAGAATTAGAAGAGTCGTGTATGGTGATACTAAAAACAAAAAATGTAACGGGTAACTTGTCAATCACACATGGAGCACCAATCATAGCAAATGATGCAATTTTGTGGTAAAGGAGGCAGGATTAGACGAAATCACCTTGAAGATTTCTGGGTTGTTTGATGGCTCTTCGGAACAAGGTAACTAACTTGCTTAAGACTGACTTATAGCTAGCAACTTTTTTTGAGGGGAAGGGGGGGAAGCTACCAGGATAAGACTTTTGAATACCTATCTTATCTTATTTTCATGCGATGTAAAAATTCCCAAAAAGTTACAGAACATCGACCACGATTAAAAATCACATCCCCTGATTCTAGCCGAATCCTCAAAAAGTACCCCACCATTACCTGCCCCACACCACAAATTAATAAATGGATGTAAAATGGATTCCCTCTCTGCTTGTGATAGGATGAATGAGATACATGGAGGTCCGCTCATATATTTTGTTCCGCAAAGGTGGAAAATTTCAATTCACCCCACCTACCTGCCAAAAGTTCCTCTTCTGTTCGATGTAGGTATTCTCAAGCTCGTGGATAACTTGATTATCAACGCTTGTTTGATGATGCAATTGAAAGATTACACAGTCGGAAAGATTCAATAATCTCTCGTCCCAACCGAATGGCAAAAGTCTGGGATTTCCTTTGTGCATTGACATGTCATATTTCATAGGGCTTCCATCCAAGATCCAAAACTACACGTATATGTTCTTGACAGTCAAAGAAACTGCAAAAAGAATGTTCAACTTTTATAGCAAGTCCCAGTTTCGATCTGGGGACCTCCGGGTTATGAGCCCGGCGCGCTTCCACTGCGCCAACTTGCTTGATTGAGGGATTGTTGGTCCTGTTTGATGGGAGAATGAGTTTGATTTCAAACTATGTTGGCAATGTATTAGCAAGGAATTATTGTGTATCAAATGAATGGGATATGGGTGGTGGGGGACGAGGTGCAGTTGCGGATGGGAGGGAGGGCGGATGGGGGTGGGTCTAGGTGGAAATTTGTTTCCGCTCTATCCTATTACTTCCGCTGGAGGAACGAAGTTATCTCTACTATATGCAGTGTCACATTGTTGGTGCTATTCATGGTCATTTGCAAGTGTGTTTGTCCAGCATTCCAGCACTATATGTATAGTACATGTCGTAGCTATGCTCTATCCTCTATACGTCCTCTGCACTATCTACCATCTTCCATCCTTCCCATCTCCCTACAATCCGTAGCTCACAAAATCCTAAAGCTGTCCTACCGGCAGTCCATCACCCTTTTTATAATTGTTATATATATTCACTTCATCGTACCCCATTTCCTGTTTCTCTTTGGCCGAAAGTGCAAAATCATCCATGTAACTCCCATGATACTTTTCCGCCCAATCTCTCAATGCATCCCAATCCAGACACTTCTTGTTCGGTTGTGTCCAGTCTGATTTATCGTGTCCTGCTATATTGGGTACTAGTGTATAATCTGGATTACACATGATGAATTGACGGATTCGATCGAAACAGTGGTAAGGGTGATCTAATGGAGGAAGATATGGTTCTTTGGGTAGTCCGTAGTCCATAGAATGGTAGAGGCTGCGAAGCATGCGCTATCTTATATTAGAGTTTGGTTGGAAAGAGGGAATAGCTCCGGAGAGGAGATGGAAGGATGGAGAGGTGCATACGAGGCAATGTAGAACATGATAAGATTCAATAAAATAGATGTGTTTGGGCTCCGTATCACCAGAATACAGATGAGTTGCAGTTGACTCGGGTATATTGTTCTTTTTGACATATGATTCTGGTAAAGCGACGACACCATGGCCAGGTAAAATGTTGTGCCAGGCTTCATTACCGTCTGTGACATTGCGTGAAGTAAAAGGGCTGGTGCGAGCGATCCGACGGGTTTGAGAGCGCTCGAGACTGAGTTCTGGGATGTCTACATGTTTATAGCCTATTAGTTTCGTGATCAATCGTCAAAGCTAGCATGCTCTGAAATTGAAAAAGCAAGAGATAATTGATTACCTGGTGAAGCAAGACATTCTTTCAAGGACCTAGAGCTGGTCGATAGAATCAAGATCAATTGTAGAGCATTCAAAAGAATTAAGAATAAAACCGACATCCCCAGTAGATTCTTGAACAAAAGTCTCGTTTTTGAGGGAGCGAGAGAGTGGGTTTTCGAGAGAAGTCCTTCACTTGACTCTCTATCCTCTTTCTTTTGATCATGATAGCTATCAGACCAGACTTCCGAGGAGCGACGATGATACAACACTTCCGGGGATGGAAGTGTCTCAATATCTGCGGCCGGTATCATCTTATATAAAGGTTCCACTACCGTGGTGAAGCGCATAGAGAATTCCGGGATGAAAGATTGAGAGAAACTAGAGAGCAATAAGTTTTTGCCAAGTTGCCAAGGGATATAAGAGCTGAATTATAGATGTGGTATGTCAACAAAGGATAAAGTAGTTCCCAAACGAGGGGTTTTGTGGTGTTGATGATACAAAGAGATTCTAGGAGACTATTTCAAAAAGAGGCCTCAATAAGAGAGATAAGCGAACACGAAACTTACGATTTGCTATTATTTCAACTTGATAGGAAGGAAGTGGAAATAGAAACTAGTATTTGAGCTCAGATTAAGTACATGAAAATTTCTGCGGAGGGCCTAGAACTCTCTTAGTTTGAACCTTTGCTCGGTGATTCAGTAATGGCCTCGGGAGTTCTGTGAAAGATGTATGTGGACCATGTAATCCCGCCAATATTGCTTCTACAGTAAATATGAAAGTTTCGAGCTCTTGAGAATATCTGAAATCTGGAAGTCATTGATTTTGAGTTTCGCCTGGATGATGTCCAAAGGTGATTCGGGTTATTGTCAAATTCAAATGGATGTTTGTGGAGTGAGTAGTACTACTTGAGGTTTATCCATGGAGGAGATTATTTTCGCACAGTCTAAATCTCAATATCCGAATATTGATCCGAATAGTGATCGGTATCTCTTTAGGTATATCCTGCATGAGAGGCACAACATCGTAGTTTTCCACAAGTACGAAATTCAACTCAATGGCGGTTATGTATATGTCATGCATAGGTTATCAAACATAGTATCTTCTATATGGGAAGAAAGCTTTCATGTAGTAGAACGTATTATCTTCTCAATGATACCCGCGCAAAACCTATTCAATATCTCGGTGGCGGAACACATCCATACACATCAGACAGTCACTTTCAATTTTATATACGGAATTTTGATGTTTCTACTTGAAAAGTCAATCTAGTCGAAAGCTGAAAATAGACCGCAAAATTCGAGCGCAGAATTGACCGCTAGTGAATATCCTTAGAGAGGAAAAATTTCTTGGGTAATTTTGGATTTTTGCACTTTTATACTTTCCAACTTCGATCAAACCTCACCACACTCTTTTCTTTCGAAGAGGACAGCTCAATCGACTTGGAATCTAAGTAATATATCAAACAATCAAAGACAGATGGAGCAAAATGAGCGCGGTTAATTTAATTCCAGAAGGCACAGCTTCATCTTTAGAAGGCATGCAGCAGTCGAGTCGAAAAGAGAGTTTCCTCAAGAGGTGTCCAGAATTTGCTCAAGATTACGACCTCCTAAACCGAGTTCTTACGATTGCCTTAATTTGTATTCAGTCAAATCATATCGAGGACCATTATATCAACAGATTTTTAATGTTTCTTGGCACGAAGTACCTCCCATGTCTTATCAGAGAACGCGACAATGACCCTTTGCCTCCATATGCAGTGTGGAAGCATAGATCTAGTCAGTATTACGGTGAAAGTCATCCAAGTATAACATCGTCATGTCGCCAGATGTTAGATTCCCACAGCGGTTCCAAATCCGATCTTGAATTCAGAGGGTTCTTGGATAAGAATTGTCAATTCTTCCTCGAACTCTGCAGAGAAACAATAAATCCCATACCAGGCCCAGCTCCACTCAAATCATATGCAAACTTTGAACTTCAGCTTGTTCTAGTCGATCGTTCACTTGAATCTAAATCAAAGGCTTCCGTCTCAACAAAAGTCGAAGCCAAGATGGAAGATAAGGTCAAGGGTGAAGTTCTAGGAAAACTTTCGGAGCTGGCAGGATCCATCAAGTCCGTTATCGAAGTCGTGGCCAACGGCGGCACGAAAATTACATCAAATGGATCTAATAGTCTCGAACAACCAAGCAAGAAAAGAAAGGAAGCCCCAGAATAGGATTGAATGCAGGAGGTATGATACGACAGCCCATCTTGAGCGTTAACTTGCTAATATATATATGCAGCTAGACAATATTACAGACTTTCAGTGGCATGGTTTTTATATTATATCGCACGAGGAGAGTTTGTGGGCATAGAATGGGCTGCTGGAATACACTTGAAGGGAAGTCTCGGAGTTTAAGAACGTCTAAAATGACATCGACATCTTTGGTGGTTCGGATACTTCAGAGAAGTTGAGTTTATCATTCTCGACCTGGGAAATTTGATTATTATTGCAGTGTCACGCGATGGCCTTTTTATGGTATGGAAGTATGGCTGGTAGGAAGCAAGTTATGCGGGATGAGCATTTTAGTCGATGACATTGCAATCAAAAGTGAAGGCAAACTTCTGCATTCAATCAATCTCAACTGCAACATTAGACTTTGAATTATAACTTTGAATTAAACGAATGCAATGAAAAAGAGTACTCGATTTTATCAAATTGTAGTGCACCTGTGTAGGTGATTTGAAAACTGAGCAGATGGTGAATGTTTATTGGCTCAAGGATTTTGCGACCTACTTGTAGACTAGTCCACCTCCCACCTCCCAACTTTAACCTCACCTCCACCCTCTTTCTCAAAACAACCACTGAAACATCTCCTTCAACTACTACTCGAGGAATATTTAACAAACTTCAATCACTACACTCAATAATCAAGCACCTGTTGTCTCCTAGCAAAATTAAAACCGCGATAGACGACATGGCTACCACACTCCCACAACCTGAGATTGCACTTGGTCCCAAAAAGCTTGCAATCTGTGAAAAGTTTTTTTCGGACATTCCAACCTTCCCAAAGAACCATAGGCGCTTTTGGGTCAAGTCCTTACATTGACCATAGTTATTCTGGATCACGTCGACTTCTTCGATGTTGATAAGCTAATTGTGTTTGTTGGCACGGTCTACCTTCCTTACTTGCAAGTGGAGCAAAACAACAACCCGTTGTCGCCCGTGGAACTCTGGGAGCGCAGTGGGTACACAGATGGTAGCGAAGTTGAAGGAACTTCAAACGGTAATCGTCTGATCATCTACCACGAAGACTCTGGATTTGATCGTGATTTCAAAGCCCATTTGATGAAAAACTGCAAGTTCGTTGTCGAACTCTTCATAAAAAAACCAATCCATGACGATGCCAATCTGAAACCAGCTCAAGTTCCAAATCTTGAACTTCAGCTTGTCCTCATCGACCGGGTGCTTGAAAGCAAGGCGAAGGAGGTCCATAACAAGAAACGCAAGTCGACAATATCTGCATAGATAGACTCAGACGCAGACGCAGACGCGGATTCAAACTAGCGCTGCAGCAGGACAAGTGTGGCCAGTTTACTTGAAAATTTATTTCATATCCAGTGAGTAATCTCTAAATTTTGTTCAACAATATCTATATGTCCGTTCACTTCCTGAATCAGCCTTTGGACTACATGGCAAATCATCCCTTATCTCATAAAATACCAACACATGTGAAAGTGTACTAATATCTAAAAACATAGTTTGTGGTAGCTTCAACGAGATCGCTTGATGGTTTAGACTTCACAGCATTGAGCCACTTTTTCCCAATGACTGGTATGTTTCAACGGTATAAATCAACGATTCGGCTGACCTTTAACATCAATAGACATTACACAAATATTTGGCAGTTTTCGCTCCTGGCACAGATAATAAATAGAATATGATATGGCGAAAAGTTCAGTGTGGGCTTTGATATGGCAATACGGCTTAACGATTACATTGTGGACGAGCAGTGAGACTTTAGATGGGCTTGAGACGTGCTTTGCACTTGCAGCTTGAGTCTCCACGTTGGGTTGGCTTCAAGATCTTCTAGTGTATTGCTAATAATACAATTCTAAAGAGATAATCACACCATCACATGCAACGGAGTGAAGATATCAAATTGAAAACACGATGATACCACACATACTGTGAAATGAGGCATGTACTACACCTCCATTTTCGAGCAGATAGAGACTATTACTTGCTATTCTTCCTTCTCCTCTTCCTAAAACGCCAGCAAATCCTCCCAACTCCCAAGCCATTATGCATTGCATCATATCTTCTGTCTCAACTGTTTCGCAATAATGCTATCATAGGAAAAATTCATCCGTGCTATGGCCCGTCACCCAGTAATTAAAGCCCCCTCATTTCTGCAACAACGGGTCACCATATCTGGTTTCTGCCATTCACATTAGCATTTTTACCCCCCCTCGCCGTAGCCTAGGAGAAACTCACTGCCATCCCAGTTCTTATCAATCAATCCATCCCAAGCCCTATCATATTCCTCATTGAACTTCTTTGAAGACCACGAACTACCAGGCGCACCATGATTAACCTTTTCCTGAGTAGCGCTCTTGGAAGGCGTAGTAGCTGGTGTGTCAGAGGAATTGTGGTTGTGGGCAGAGTATAGATCAGGTGGAGAGTCAGGAGCTTCCATCGCGTGATCTTGTATATGAGGTTCTTGGCTTGAGAGAAATTCGATCCCAGCGTTTGTTGCGGGTTGTTGTTGATCTGTCGGGGAGCTTGTTAGATGATTGATTTTGGGGTTGACTAACTTGAGGCTGGAGGACGGGAGCTCTTATGTACCTGGAGATTCTTGTGCTGACATTTTTGTAAACTTTTACGCCGGCGGATCGGGAGTCTATAGGCTAGAAGGTATCAAAAGAGAAGGTTTATTCGTCTTATGGCAGTGAATCTATTCCTCACAATTGGAGATTGTGACGAATGAAGCACAGAAGTTAAACACCCCACAGCCTTGCCCTGCAGGCTACACTAGCTAGCACTAGCGTTGTGTATCCACACACCAAGCCACATCCCTTGCAAACCCAAAATGTACACCCCTCCATTTTCATCATCCCTCCACAACTCATCACATTTCACTCAATTCTCCAGATAAAAACCAATACGGATATTTACGAAATCCAACAGAATATGAGCAAAAAAACATCAGCCCCTAGTGCTTGGGACGACGACTGGGAATCTCAAGCCGATGCGTGGGATGCAGCACCCACACCGAATAAAGCGGTCGAGGACGAACCCAAAATTTCTAAGGCTGAACGATTAGCAAAACATGCGGAGACTAACAAGAAGATATGGGAATCTGCGTATGTTTTGCTACAGGCTTACAGTCTAAATTGTTTTGCGCTCTAAATAACTAACACAATCACTCAATAGCGAAACTCCAGGCGGCCTTTCGGAACAATTTCCATTCCTTCTCCCTCCAAATCTGGCCAAACCTGTCCCATTAGCTACACCTTACAAAGCTCCTCTTACACTTCTATCTCGAAAGCCCGCTCCTAGAACAGTTACTAAGATAGATCCTCGTACTGGTAAAACGACCACAGTTGAAGCAGAGGAAGAAGAGGAAGTAATTGTCGCAGGACCAAGTGCTGAAGAACTGCGCGAAAAGGCGCAACGTGAAAGAGAGGAAAAGCAAAGAAAATACGATGAAGCCAGAGCCAGAATCTTAGGGACAAGTTCTTCACCAAGAAGTAATTCTGGAAATGGGAGAGGGGGTAGCGGCAATAATACTCCCAGGAATGGAACACCCCCTCTGCAAACAAGAGGAAGAGGTAGAGGAAATGATGTTCGGAGACCGGATAGTAGGCCAGATAGTAGAACTGGACAGAAAGAATTATTCGATCCGAACTATACACCTAAGCCCGGATCGTTCACAATACAAAAGACATCTAGAAATGGAGAAGGATCACGACCGGGATCAGGCACGTCTACACCAACATCAAGAGAGAACGAACAAGTTATTAGAGCACCAAGAGGACCTGATGCGACAGGCAGAGGATTCGAGTTCACAAATCGAGGTGGAAAATGAGTTGATTTTCTGCTCTAGAGTCATCAACTACCAGCCTCCGCCAATCTTGTTGGCGATTTCTATCACCCTTTCTGCGTCACCAGCATTCTTACCGACATCGCTGACGACCTCCCTATACGTCGTATACACCAATTTATCCAGATCTAGGCCCGTTATTGTCGCCCAATGCGACAGGGTATCTTTAATGTATGAAGGTGAAATTCCTTCCACTAAATCATCACGTTCATCTACACTCGAGGGCTCAGCGTTTTCTTCTCCAGAAAAGTATGCCTCGTCGACTTGGGCCAGCCACAGTTTCTGTTCTTGTGGACCAGGTTTCGCATCACCTTCCAATCGACTTGTGTTTATTGGATCGTCAACCTTAATCTGACCACCTCCGTTGGTGCACCCGCCCGGACAAGCCATAACCTCGACATACGTATAATCGGGACCAGTAGCTTTACCATTCGGCCGCCTGGCACTTCCAATTGGTTTACCACCTGGCATTCGAGACGGTTTGGCTGGCTTTAATCGTCGAACAAGATTTTGTATATTCCGGAATCCATAGTATCGAGCCGCCTTGAGTAATATCTCGCCATTATCTGCGACAACAGTATAATCCACAACATCTGCGTTACGGCCTTTGATTGTCTGGACGGATGATCCCTTATGCTGCGATGCAAAATAGTGAAGGGCATAATGAAGGTTTCCACCAGAAGAACCAGCCTCGCGGCTACCATTACCGCTGCTTCTGCGATTAGATGGGAAAAGAAAAGAGTTTATTGTTGGATCTGGGAATGGTATGTGCGAGGATGAAGGTAATGGAGTTCGAGGTAATTTGGAAAAGTCGATACGCCTAGAATCTGCAAGCATGAGTAACTCCTTGCTCGTGATAACAGAATCAACATCTCTAACGCCCCGAGTTCCAGTCCCTTCCCAAACGGCGTCGGTCAATTCCTCTCGACTAGCCTCTAACTTTTTGTCGAAACATGGCATAACCGCTACATGCCATATCCTGTCAGGTGAAATGCCAAGTTTTCGACTTAACGTCGTCTTAATAAGAGTTCCCATCAATGCTTGTGGTGACTTCATCCGTGATAAATGTGGTAAAACGTGTGGGTGTGTCTTTTCCGCGTAACATACCCATCCAGGACATGAAGAAGTCAAAATAGGTTTCTTGGTTTCTTCTGCGCCATTCATGGAAGCTACAACTTCCTCAGCTCCAAGTACCAAACATGCCTCCCTTGTAATATTAGTATCAACAACCCATTGAAACGCATTCCTATAAACCGCTCGATTCTTTATTCCCTTTGGTCCACTGAGTAGATGCTCAATCATATAACCTGCTTCTCGCTCGGTGACTCCAAAAGTAGCCGCAATACTTGCTCGCGATTGTGGACTTACACTTGCGACATATATTTTCCCCCCTTGTTCGAGTCCCTCTACGCTTACACCTGTACCCGTCGCACTTTTATGTAGGCGAAGACCAGGTGCTGAATCTAATTGGGATAATACTTCAGCATGCGATTGTAAAGATACGAGAACGGCTTCGGCGGATGTCACACATCCTGAGCATGCGAGACAGTCTGTGAGAGATATTTGCGCAGGGGGTAAATCAGATGGAAGGGGGGCGTCGGTGTTGAAGGATATTTCGAGTTCCTAGACAGATACATTAGGGATAGGTTGAGAGGCGAAGGATGAGGATATGCATACATTATCCGCAGAAGGCTTCGCAGCAGGCAAAGTCTCGACGGGTTTTATACATGCGACTCCTGGAGATATAAAATCGTTCAAATCGTCTGCTGAGAGGATCGCGCTCATGATTTCGATGAGGGGTGCGGACGCTGAATGCGGCGCTTTTTCTTTTGATGTATTATTCTTATAAAATCGATGTTGTCCGAGTTTCTGTTCCTGCGAGTAGGTTTGGAAAGTAAAAAATGTATCAATAATTTCAGGATGTCGGAGATGTATGAATCCTGAAGGTGGATTAGTCTCGTTATCTTCACAAAAATTCAAAGATTGGAAATCATTTACAATCACAATTAAGATAATTCGTCAAAACTGATTGCGAGGATCGGAGCACGGAGATGGTGGCGTTGACAAGGGTTGTAGAAAGCAGCCCCTCACTAAAGATGCAGTGATGCCTCATAGACTCAGATTGTTGCCTTGGGCCAACAACAATGACGTAAGATTATTGTTCCTGAGATGTTGGGATGAGCTTTTAGAGCTGAATGCACATAAGAGGCACTCTGACCATTAATTGAACTGATACTTTCCAAGTCTTTCAATATTGATATCTGATAAGTAAAGACTGAAAGCTTGAGAATACAGACAAAGCTCCTTTCAATAATCACAGCAATCATGGACGTATGTACTTTCTCTCTCGAATGCTGAGAGTCTAGTTTACTGACTACTAAATAGGTCTTTTACTCTTATACGTATGGAACGGCAGGATGGCTTGCATTACAATCCCTCCCGCTAATCATATCACCCACGATCATAATTACAATGCTCTCACCTGAGTATCGAGATGCTACCAGTAAGTATATGTTATTGTGTTCTATTCAACCTCAAAACTATATTCTAACAACGCCTAGCTCTCGAAGAATACTTCTCCCGGTCACTTGGCTTCACCCTACTGACCCTGGGTATACTAACTGTTCTCCTGACCGGATCTGTTCCCCTCACATCCTCGATATCCGACACTGCCTCTTCTGCAGTCACCTCTTCCGAAAGCGACCCCAAAGCTCCTTACGCAGTCCCCGTTCTCACGATTAGCATTCTTTATCACGGTCTCATAGCATTTCACTGCTATGCGCGCTACACAACAATGGGTACCTTTGCATTTGCATTGGGATCACTTGGTTCGACGACTCTATTTGCGATTGGTGGGTGGTGTTTACTTTTTGGAACATCGCATGGACGAATTAGCAAAAAGACTGGAGCGGATAAGAGGACGAGTGGGTTTCCCTTTGGGAATCAGGAGAGTGCTAGTGCCAGGAAGAGGGCTAACAGGAGGGGTTTGTGAGGAGCTGAGAAAAGGGTTCTGAAAGGGTTTTGAGGGACGAAGATGGCTGAAATGCTGAGGAATGTAACAAAAGTTGGATACGGCGACTACCTCTAATGAAAGACATATACTATCAGCAACACCGTGTTGTGAACCGGACGAGAGTTATATGACATATGGTGTTATGCTGAGACTTTATATACCTCTCCGCATGCTGTTTGGAAGGATTCAAATTGTCAATTGGACTATCAGACATACGCCGCATCCCACCACCTTACATGCCCATGCTTATGTCAAAGTAAAGTCAAAATCACCTCCACAAACGGCTCCCTCGCATCATTTTGGAACAGCTAGAAACGCTGCAGTCAGCAGCACTCTTACAAAGCACGGCATTAACGATTATTTATCAACTATCTCCTCGATCGTTTCTTAATTCCATTACCGCAATAAAAGTTAGTATCGGAAATAGATTCAGCCAAGGACGTTTTCTCCGTATGGTTGTCCGTTTTCCGTAAGCCATTTTGGTGTTGTGTTACATTGGCATGTCTGCACGACACCAGAGTACAACTTGTACAAATCTTAAATTCTGAAGTATTACCATACCTACCAGGTTATGCATCAATAAACATCTCAAACTCACAATAATCTCCACCTTCACATGTTTTCATCGTTGACCCTGAAAAAACCAACCCCAAATTCATGGATTTAGTTTATTAACCCCGAGCTCGCCAATAGCCGCACCGCGCCCCTATTACCGATGATGCTGAAGTGGATTTCCCATGATCGATTGCATCGGGACTTTATTGATGATGTAATGATTTGAATAGATATTACAAATCTACCTAGGCAAGTATTTTGAGAACCCTTTGGGCAGGTAGATAAAGCATTGTATGGCGATATAAAATTTATAAAGACAATAGATGTTCCCACTTTACTTCTTGCATTCCAGCAAGAGCTACCTACCCCACTATTCCTACAATTGAACAGTTGTGTAACTGAGCTACCCCTCCATCACATCTCAAATCTCAAACCTTAATTCAAAAATTAAACACTCAATTTCAAAACCACACAAAATCTCAGCCCTTCAGCGAAATAAGAAAATTCAGCAAAAATGGTTCAACTACTAGGAAAAGACATTGGTACCATTGGATATGGCATGATGGGTTTGTGTTTCCTCCTCGCCCCTCTTCCCAATTTCTCTCGAACCCAATTCCAAACTAACCTCGTCTTCTCCAGGTCTCTCTTGGCGCCCAGAGCCTCAACCCCTCGAAGAATCCATTAGAACCCTGAAAGCTGCACTTGACAAAGGTTGCAACTTCTGGAACGGAGGCCAGTTCTACGGAACTCCTGAATACAATTCTCTCACCATCTGCGCCGCCTACTTTGAAAAATATCCAGAAGATGCAGACAAAGTTGTTTTGAGCATCAAAGGTGGTATGGCTCTAGAGAAATTTGTTCCTGATGGAAGCCCAGAAGGTGTTAGAAAGAGTGTGGATACGTGTTTAGCACTTTTAAAGGGCAAGAAAAAGATTGACATCTTTGAATGTGCAAGAGTGGATAAAGACACCCCGATTGAGGTTACGATGAAGGTTTTGGAGGAGGAATATGTGAAGACGGGGAAGATTGGAGGCATTTCTTTAAGTGAGTGTTCGGCGGAGACGGTCAAGAGGGCCGCGAAGATTACAAAGATTGTGGCCTGTGAGGTTGAGGTTTCTTTGAATACGTTGGATATCTTTCAAAATGGGGTTGCCGAAGCTTGCAGAGAACATGATATTTTGGTTGTTGCGTATGTATTTCTGATTTCTATGGATGATATAGTATGGCTAATGAAAAACAGATACTCACCGTTAGGCCGAAGTTTGTTGACCGGTGCAATTCAAAAGCTAGAAGATATCCCCGAGGGCGATATGCGTCGAAAGTATCCGAGATTCCAGGAAGAGCACTTTGAAAATAACAAGAAGCTTCTTGACGCTGTGACAAAGATTGCAGAACAAAAGAACTGCACACCGGCTCAAATCGCTATCAATTGGCTCACAGCTATTTCCAAGAAAGACGGCAACCCAGAAATCATCCCAATTCCTGGTGCCACTACAATCGATCGTGTCGCAGAGAATTCAAAGGAGGTATCTTTAACTGCAGACGACCTGGCGGAGCTTGATTTAATAACAAAACGATTCCCAGCTTCGGGCCATCGTTATCCGGAACATGCACGAGCACATCTAGAAGGTTAAAAAAAGCCTTGATAGGTGGGGAGAAGTTAGCGATCATGTAACAAGAGTGAAGTAGAGTAGTATGCAAAGAATGCAGATTAAATTGTAAAGCTCAGAATAAATTGTGTAATGTGTTTCTGTCGACTTATAGATACAGTTGCCTGTATCATTCCGAATTGCAGAACTCGAGGGTTATTCATCATCGCGAAAAGAAGAAAATAAATGTAATAGAGTATGAGCTTACCTATATAATCATCACTCTCGAATCTCGCAGGTAGCCACAGTACTGTTGCTATGTCTCCCGAGCAAATTTCATTGCAATTGAGAAAGTTGATGGGACGAAGAGTAGTTTAAGATATTTTGTTGAAGAGAGAAAATGTTCTCAGGTCTAATTGAAAAAAGTGGATGGATGATTAAAAGTTACAAGCTACACGGCAACTTCCGCGAGCTCTTGGCTTTGATGCTTCGCGACCGACATCATTCAGTACAACCCAACTGCATATTCGCAAAGCTTCTTCAAATACCAACTGAATTCGAGATATTTCACCATTCACCTCACCTTTGCAACTTTCACCCTCGACATAATTACGGTCGATAATTCTACTATTTAAGTGTTACGCTCGATCTCTTCAACATGGCCGACGACTCACCTCCAGGATCTCCCCTCTCCGATCTTTCCTCAGACGCATTTGACGACGAGGACAACGAACGGATGGCTGCAGATGCTCACATGCCGCCTGCTAAAAGGCAAAAAACAAGCAGCGACGAATCTTTGCGCATCGCCACATCTCGTATCAAAATGGATGGAACAGATGGTTATTGTTCTACTGATACCGAAGGAGACATTCCAGACTCTCCAAGCATCGTTCAGCGACCTGAAGATGCCCTAGATGATTTACACGAACAAATAACTGTTTGCGCATGGCTTGGTTGCACTAAGGGAGATTTTGGAGATATGGATCAGTTGGTGGAACATTTACATCACGATCACATTGATTCTAGACCGAAAAAATACACATGTGAATGGTTGGCTTGTCCAAGGAAAAGTCAACCACAAGCAAGCGGTTATGCTTTGAAGGCACACATGAGAAGCCATACTGGAGAAAAGCCATTTTATTGCGCATTACCTGGTTCGTTCTCTGCGACTGGATTCTAGAATAAAGCTAACAGCCAATTTAGAATGCGACCGCGCTTTCACACGTTCTGATGCTCTTGCAAAACATATGCGAACAGTTCACGAGACCGAAGCTCTTCGTCCTTCCGATCCTATTCCTAAACATATTCAAGACCATTCAAAAGGCCTACCTAGACATCCTCAACCAAGAGTCGTCATGAAACCATTTCCAGATTCAAATCCAATGGCAGGAGCACACATCTCACCCTTAGTTGAACCCTCGTTAATGGCTACATCATATCCTCCTGAATTGGGATTCACTTTGGAAGAAGAAGCGAAAGGGCCAATTGAGCTTTGGAAATTACTACGAAAGCAAATACAATGGGCGGAGGAGGAAGGCGAGGCGCTAAGAAAGCAATGCGAGATCATGGAAGAAATTAGGAGGAACGAATGGAAGGAGAAGGAAATTCTACTTGATGTTGCCATTGCAAAAGACTTGGAAATGGAGGCGAAAAGAAAGGCGGCGTTTGCTGAGCTTGCGAAGCTTCCCAGGGAGGAAGTTGATTACGTTATGAACGAAGAACCAAATTCACCCAGTATCCGTGGGGTTGACTATACAGAGCACACACCAAATACGGCTATGTCTCCAAGTAGGACTCCATTTTCACCTAGGGATCTGACGCCATTGGAGCAGAGTCAAGGGCCTGTTGAAGCAGATGCGGCGGAGGTCTTGACTTCCATGGCGCAGGCTTAAGGATGGGAAAGGCATGGAATAAAAGGGTATACAAACTGAGAATGTATTCGGGAGCTTCTGTATATCCAGACGTCTGAAGGCTATTGGAATAACAAGTGGGCTAGGAGGAGTAAACTGGGTTACGAAATATTTATGAAACGGTCTGATATCAATTCGGATAATCAGAGGGAAATTATTGCAAGCAAGGCGTTTTCTGGGGCAATGCAATGGTGTAGGATGGTCACGTAGAGGTTCTGCTTCCGTGTGAATCAATAGTCTGGCAGGATTCCAAAACATTAAAGCGGTGTTTAATATTATAATAATTCCTGAAATAGTTTCTAGTGAGATCTGGTACATTTATGACTGGTGCTAGAGTATGATAAGACGGGTGCTTGATTTAATAATTATCTATGATCATAGAGCTCTTAACTTTATATGTTCATAGGGCTAAGCGAAACGCCTAGCTGTTTGAAATACTAGGTAGCTACATGTTGATGACGAGAATAGTATGATTTTTTGGAAACTCATTCTTATTAGTGTACCACCAGTACCTAGGTATTGTGAGTATCAAATGACTAGCAAATTGAAGATTAATCTGTGGGAAAGTGATCGCATTACCTACCTAGGCGCATAGGGGGTAACAGTTGTTGGGTCAGAATTTAGGACGATGGGTTACTTCAGATATTTTCGCAATGAAAGAGAAAGATACAGTTAAGGGGGTAGGATGGTAATGATACTGGCGTAATCACTTTCTAGAATCTGATGAATATCTGTCTTTCCGTTTTCTTGAAGACTTGTTACTTCTTTCGGGTGGGTAATGAGATGGAGACGAGAAAATTCGCTTAATTGTAGACTTTGGTTGTTGGTTTTGTGATGAGTTTGGTTTTGGTAAGTATTGTTTTGTTGGGTAGGCATCCGTAGGTATTATATGCTAGGTTGCTGATATGATATAGAACAAAGACGA